AAAAAAAAAGAAAGGCCTGTATCATATCAAACTGGGAAATAAAAAATTGCAAATTCTGCTATCTTAGAATTAACTGGACATAGATCAATGGTATAGCCCTGAGGCTGCTCTGAGAAATCTGGTCCCTTGGGCATCATCAGCCATCAGGAGCTGCTGATGGTAAGCAGCCTAAGACACGGGTAGAGACAAATATGTCACCACTAGATCAGGGTAAACTACTGTCAGGAGGGAGTCTGGAGAAGTCCTGCCACTCCAAGACTCTCGCCCCTGGCCACCAACTCAGTGACAACTTAGAGATGAGAAAAGGAGTCCCCTTGCCCAGCCCATCCAGAAGGGGAAGTATCTGCCATCCTCTACGCACAGTGGACTCTCTGGAGAGCTCAGCTCGGATGTGGACAAGGTCCTCCTGCAGCAACCTCTGCTGGTAGGCAATCTTCTCCAGGTGCTGAGGTTGGTCTCGGTACTGCTCCATCTGTCTGTGCAACACTTCCAAAACAGATTCTAGCTGATCCTGCACCAGGAAGGGCCAAAGAAGAATAGGATAAGAGGACAGTCCCCAGAGCCCACCCCAGACCCCACCAGGAACCAAACGAAGCATTGGATCTATCCAACATTGCAAGGGCCAGAGCCAGATTGGGGCTGACAGGGCCTCTGGTGCCAGGTCTGACTCCATCCACTGGGTGGGCTGGGCCAAGCACCTAACAGATCTACACTTCAGTTTCCTCATCCATAAAGTGGGCAGGAAAGCCACCTAAGTTCTTATGGGATAAACTATGAGAATAAACCAAAGTAGATGGAAAACTCTCTAAGCTCTTATGGAAAAGAGTATGTTAAAAACCTTCAGCATCACATATGCAATACCTTATTAAAATGCAAAAAGAAAAAATTGCTTTAAAAGTGGCCAAATAATAGTAATCTTTGGCCCATTCCTGTCTTCCTATCCAGATTTGCTTCCTCTGTGGCCGAAATTCTATGAGGAAAGGCGTTTTAGGAAGGGAGGGCCTCTGCCCTGTAGACTTAGCCACTGCCTTCAAGCCAGCCCCCCTTCTCTGGGGTCATCACATACAAGCTGGTAGGGCTCCTCTCCCAGGCTCACCTCATAGGGCCTCTAGGGAGAGGTAGGCCAGAGCAGAATTGGGGTAGGGGAGCTCTAATACTTGGAACAAGCAGGCTGAGGTCTCCCTATAAGTTCTCCCTCTAAGAGAGAAACCTTTAAGAAGCACCATTTAAACACAAAGACATTGTTCTGGATAAACTAACACCTGTTGTTCAATACTAACATGGGAGCCCAGCTCACATCTCAGGGAAGATAGGACAGAATGCCGCCCCACCCATCCCAAGATTATACAAAACTGATGTGTACTTTGTTCTCCTTGAGGGCTCGTATCTTGTCTTCTAAGTCCTGCAGGATCCTGTCTTGTTCACAGAAGATGCTCAGTTTGACCTATAAGCAAGAACAGGTCGGAGAGGGGTGAGAAGGTGAGAAACCTATGGCCTTGGGATTGTTATCCGAAAGACTCTACTAGAGAACCATCCAAACCCTGTATGAAGCCGCCCACCCTGCGTCTGGGTTAGGAGGTAGCCAAGGGGTCAGCACATCACTCTCTCACTTACATCAATGTCACTCTCAGCTATCTTCACAGGCTTCAGACTTCGATCCTTGAGGTCTCGGCCTGTCATCTGGGAGGCAAACAATTTAAGAGATTTCACAACGGCGTTTGGGATCAGGGGAAAGTTAGTCTCACAACGGTGCGGAAGTCCTTGGCAGTAAGAGGTAGGGACGTGGCATGGGCCATAACTTGGGCAATACTTGTTTTATCTCTATGTCTTTTTCATTTTAGGAAGAAACCAAACACATTTCATGATCCAAGTAACACCTGTAAATTCTTCAAATTAAATAAAACATCAATTTTAGAGGCATATATACATGTATGTATTTGCCCAAGTAAGTGTGATAAAATCTATATGAATCTTGGAAGATTTGCCACTGATAAGACAGAGGTTTGCTACTGAACTTGGGGACAAATAAATCACCCCCTGCCCAAGGTACTGGGCTGGGTATGCTATAAGGAACAAGCAAATCCCTGAGCACTGTCAACCTTCAGTTTAAGGAAGTCTTCAGCAGTCCACATCCCCATAAGTTAGGCTAGCCTTCCTTACCCTATTGGGAAGAAAACCTGGCCAAGGGAAGAAGGAACCTAGAGAGTTCCTAGCTGGGGGTTTTAATTAATCCCTAAATAACTGAGGCTAGGCTGTACTTGTTACATATTACCTCCTTATTTCAAGAAGGAAGCCATGGCTGGCATCCATAGCATAGTGCTTATGGTGCCAGCCACATGCACTGAGGCTGGTTGGTTCAAACCCAGCCCAAGCCAGGTAAACAACAATGACAACTGCAACAAAAAAATAGCTGGGCATTGTGGTGGGCGCCTGTAGTCCCAGCTACTTGGGATGCTGAGGCAAGAAAATCACTTGAGCCCAAAAGTTTGAGGTTGCTGTGAGGTATGGTATCATGGCACTCTACCCAGGGTGACAGAGTGAGACTCTACCTAAAAAAAAAAAAGAAAGAAAGAAAGAAAGCCACCAAGCCACAGGCAAGTCACTCAAACTTAGAGGCCAGTAGGATTTACATTTCCCATCCTTGCTTGACTCAAAGCGGGCAACATGTTGCCCATCTCTCACTGACTGTGAAACAGCTAAATCAAACTCATTTCATGTTTTTATGTCCCTTCATCTGCTTCTTGCCATAAGTTGTACAGGGTGGAGGGGATCACTCTTTCACAGATGCATCCCCCATGCCAATGACAAGGTCAGGGGCAGCAGCTCTAACATGCTGCATGTGGGGAGGCCACCTCATTGAGCTCTGCTTTACAAATAGAAAAATGGAGGGTGGAGCTAACCTCACTAAGCTCTGTTTTACAAATAGAAAAATGGAGGGTGGAGCTAGCCACAGCAGAGGGTCCCAGTATGGACAAATGGCTGCTGGAGAGATGGCCTTCAGTCTCTCTTCACTCTATCGAGAAGGACCAGTAAGTTAATCAGTGGGAATCAGGAGCAGAAATACGCTGGCAAACCTTCCTCTCAGTGCTCAAGCCCTTCATGTGCCTGCCTCCCAGAGGATCATTTCCAGCAAACCCAAAGGTCAAAAGAGAGTGACCTCTCTCTGCCTGGATGTGAGGACTGATTCTGGGCTGCAGACCCACCCCTACGGTCACTTTGATTGCACAGAAGAAAGTGGGGACCATTGTCTTATTTGTCGGCTGGCACAAACTCAACAAGTGCTTATTGAATCGACATACGTCAAAGAAGACATGTGTGGGTTGGTGTTGTAGAGTTCCTGGAAAAAGTAGAACTCCAGCCAAATTCTGCTCTTCAAACTGGCAGATTACATGTACATACATGTATACACACAACTGCAGAACACAGGACTAAGCAACGATCCACAAACAAACAGACTGTGCTGTCTCCTGCAATGAGGGAGTAGGGGGACAGGAGAGGGGAAAGGAGGGTGTGGAATTAATCCTGATGACCCTAAGCAGCTAAACATCTCAAGCAGGACTCAGGGAAATCCAGGAGGAAAGGAGGCAAAAGCTGTGACGTCTTCACATTGTCACATCAAAGTGGAAGACAATGAACTTGTCTAGTCTCCAATGGGTCTGACCCTTGGCTCATTTCTTGGGTAGAAATCATTTTCAAATTAGGAATTTGAGGATTCTCTCCCACCCCTAGCAGTACTCTTCACCTTATATCATGGAGGCTTTTTATGGAGGATATCTTTTTGATACTTAAATAATGAGGCAGAAAATCTAATTAAGCAATGCCTCATTCATCCAGGACTGTCAGGAAAGGAATGAGATACTCCACACAAGAAGGGCATTTTGAGCAAGCGAAATCTTCTAAACGATACTTTTTGATGGAGAGCTTCTAAAAGTACGCCTTGCGCTACCTTCATGGAATAGTGGATATACATTCAATCTCCCCCACATCTCTGGATATCAGTACTCCCTCTTTTCTAAGTAGACTTCTTTAGTCTCCTTTCATAAAGTGCTACTTATAAGGTGGTGTAAGGAATTCAAAGAACTAACAGCTCAACAGAGAGGAGGTACTTACGTCCCTTCCATCCCTTTAACTGGGTCTGGTGTCCTGCAGGGTGTTCCTCCCACAGGTGGCGTCTCTGCTGCTGTGCTACTCAGCACCTCAGATTACCACATTCTGTGTGCTCATCTGTCTCTCCTCACTAGACAGTAACCTAATTAGGGTGACTGTGGAGGCTGATGTGTTTTCTCTATATCCTCAAAGCCTAGCCAGGGCCTAGCATACTGAGGCTATTTGGGTGACGTTTGCTTAGTGTGTTCATAAATGTACCAAAATAAAGTGAGTTGGTTCTGCCTCCTTTGGCTTTAGAGCACAGGCTTAGTGATAGCTGTTTACACAGTTCAAAGGCCCGCTAAGCTTCTGAATTTAGCCCTATTCCAGAAAACTGAGATTACTAAGAAACAGCACATCCATAATCAGTATATTATGTCTAATTCTCCTTTTAAAAGTGTGCTTTAAGATAGCAATGTTTAAATTCATTTAAAACTTCAATTATGGCTGGGCATGGTGGCATGTTCCTGTATTTCCCAACCTGCAGTCTTCATTGGAATCTATGAGGGCTGGCCCTGCTGCAGTCACTACTCCAAAGGGGGTCTGGAGTGATGCCATGTCTACTCTAGCTCTAGACTATTGTCTAAAAATTATCTCCCTGCCCCCCAAAATGAGCCACCTTAATTCCAGGTCCATAGAATCTGAGGATGCTTTGGCTCCTGTGTGGTAACCAGTAACTATCACTCCCTCCCAAGAAACTCATGCATAACTCTGTCTCGGTGAGCCCTCACTGAGGAGGCAGACAAGTGAGAATGGAAACACAACACAAGCTGGTGGCAAGCCAGGCAAGCTCCCCCACCCCTTGGCAGCACAAAAGATGAAGTCACAGAACACCACAGATGAGAGGCTCAGCCTGGTGCATCGGCCAAAATGCTGGAGAGAGCATCAATTTAAAGAAAATAAACCGAAATGACTTGCGGGAAGCCTGGGGCGGTCAGGAGAGCAACTGGTTAAGCAAGTGATGGAGTAGGCCCTGAGCCAGAAGCAATGAATGGCCCCGCTCCGAGACACAGATCAGATCATCTTACGCTTCTCCTGGGCCGACAGCCCTGTGCTGACTTCTTCAGCACTTTGTAAAGCACGTTGATCAAAGGTTCATTATTTTTAATCTGTTCCAAACAAAAAGGCAAATATAACAAAACACAACAGGTGAGACATCAAATGACACTGAAGCAGCCAGAATTTGGAGAACTGGCAAAGAGAAAACTTTAAGGACGATATGGGCTGTGCAATTAAAACAACCAGCTTTGAATCTTGGTGATGCTGCTTCCCAGCTGTGTGGGACCTTCCCAGACTTCAGTTCTCTCTTCTACAAGATGAGGGATAATAAGCTCTGTCTGATGGGATCTTCGTGCAGACTGGTTTAAGTGAGAGTGCCCATTTCCTTCCTGGATCTGCTGTAGGAGGCCGGGGAATCATGACAAAATAGAACTTTGCTTCTTCCTTTGTCCCCCCTTATCACAGTCTGTAAGATACCAGTTTGAAGCAGTGCCATGCAATCATCTCACCCCCACCCAACATTTTCCACCTAAAGTTTCTTGGACCTCTGCTGCAATACCTGTGATGCATCTAAAGGATTACGTCTTACCAATGGTCCCAAATGTTTCAGCCCCTATTAGGGAAAATTTTCTCCACTCTCTAGGACAGTGGTTCTCAACCTTCCTAATGCCACAGTGCTTTAATACAGTTCCAAAGGGGTCTCGAACCACAGATTGAGAACTGTTGCTCTAAGACAATGGCTCTCAATCCTGACTGAATTTTGGAAACACCTGGGGAGCCTTAAAAAATGCTGATGCCTAAAAGAAAAGAAAAGAAAAAGAAAAAACAAAAAGAAATATGCTGATGCCTGAGTCCCACCCCAAGAGAATCTGATGTAATTGGTCTGGGATGGGGCCTGGGCCTTGGGATTCTTAAATACGCTGTGAGTGATCCTAATGTACAGCCAGACTTGAGAGCCACTGCTCTAAAGCAGGTCTGAGATAGGACCCAAATTTTGCTTTTCTAACAGATTCCCAGATATTGCTCATGCTTCTGGTCTGGGGATCACACTTTGAGAACCACTACCTTAAAACATTTCTCAACCTTAGCTGCTAAGATCCAAGGGGTTTTGAATGTTTTTTAAAGAGTATTACCTGAATACATATTAACAATTAAATTAATCACAGTCTCTAAAGAATAAGACCCAACCATCTATACTCATTTTAAAAGATCCCAGAAGTTCTAGTTCATGGACAAGGTTAATAATCTCTGCTCCAGGCTCGGCACCCATAGCATAGTGGTTACAGTGCTGGCCACATGCACCAAGGCTGGTGGGTTCGAAGCCTGGGCCAGCTAAACAGCAATGACAACTGCAACAAAAAAATAACCGGGCACTGTGGCAGGCACCTGTAGACCCAGGTACTTGGGAAGCTGAGGCAAGAGAATCGCTTAAGCCCAAGAGTTTGATGTTGATGTGAGCTGTGATGCCACAGCACTCTACTGGGGATGACACAGTGAGACTCTGTCTCAAAAAAAAAAAAAAAAAAAATTTCTGCTCCAAAACAACAGACCTCAAACTTTACAGTGTATAAGAATCATACCAGGGCTTGATTAAAAAATGCAGAATTCTGGGCACTAGAGATTCTAATTCAATAGAACTCTCCAGATCTGTTTTGTTTGTTTGTTTTGAGGCAGGGTCTTGCTCTGTCACCCTGGCTAGAGTACAGCAGCAGCATCACAACTCACAGCAAACTCAAACTCCTCAGCTCAAGCAATCCCTCTGCGTCAGCCTCCCAAGTAGCTGAGATTATAGGTGCACAACCCACCATGCCTGGCTAATTTTTCTAAATTTTTTGTAGGGACGGAGGTCTCATTCTTACGAACACTGATCTTCATTTTTTATCAAGCTCCCAGTTCATCCTGAAGTAAGTGACATCCCCAATCACAACTTAATAAACTCTGCCCCAGAAACTGACTTTGGAAAATGGAGCCAGAGCAGAGAAACCCTGATGTCAGGCTCAAACAGTCAGGATGAGTCCAGATACCAACAGACCTGGAGCTACTAATGACACATCACTCACGAGAGACAAAAGCCTCTTTGGGGTTGACTGCAACCTTCTTGGGTACCTACCTGAGTGGCAGCAGGTACCCAGCCCCACCTCACCTTGCTGGCTGTTCAAGTTATCAACAGTGAGCCCTCACATCCCACACTTCTCACCCAGCCTTGCTATAGGGTTCTGAAGAGCAGAAATTCAATGCCAGAAACACAACTCAACAAGTACAACTTTAGGGTAGACAAAGCTTATGATGTATGGAAGAAAGAAGACAGATGTGAAGTCTGTCTGTGGGTTCAAATCCCAGCTATGTAACTTTGCAGAAGTTACTCCACTCCTCTAATACTTCTTGGCTATAAAATAGGGATGATAATTCCTATTGCTCAAGGTTGCTCCTAGGACTCAATGAGATAAATGAACATCAAGTGCCTAAACACTGCCAGGCAAGAACAGATGCTTAATCAGTGTGGAGTCCTTTTCACCCTGGCACCACTGAGTAAGACACCAGGGAAGTAAAGATTTTCCCCCAAACACATTAACATAAGTGTCTTCTAAGAGAGTGGAGTGTGCCTTTGTTTGATCACTTGGCACCATTGCGAGATGCTCACTTCAGAAAGAAAAGCTCCACACCGTGTGAGGAAACAAACACCAACTAATTCTGGAAGCTGAGCATCAGATGACTGGAGGAGGAGGTGGGCTCTGGATTCTTAAGTCTGTGGCCTCTGAGACAGGGACATAGGGGTCCCTGAGTCAACACGGTGAAGGCAGGGCGTGGTCAGCAGGTCAGATGCCAGGTGGGGAGACTCCTACAAAAGCCTTATCTCCTTAACTCACTCTTTTCCGAGGACCTGGGAGGGACCTCTCAGCTAGTCCCAGAGGGGCTATGCTGGCCTCTATGTCCATGCACAGGGTGGCCCACAGAGCCCTATTCAATTGTGTCCACAGAAGTCTTATCTCAGAGAAATTTTGAGACAAGGGCCTTGGGGTTTTCCTAATCCAACCCCCTATATCAGCTAGCCTCCATTGTACCCCAGTGACAAAATATTCACCATCATTCACGGTGACCCTTTTAGAAGTGAAGGGTATGGAAGAAGGGTATGATGTATGGAAGTCCAAACTTTCTTCTATTGAACTGAAGTCTGTCTACTTGTATCTGCCATCCACTTGTTTTAAATTTCCTCAGCTTATGGAAAACACAGGTGATACACCAGACTGTCTCTACAGTTCTCATAAATCGTCCTCAACTCCTCCAATCAGCTGTGCCTGCTGCTGTTGTGCTTCTTTTCTCTGCCCACCCTGCTTTCCCATTAGGAAACTCCTCCCTCACTCCATGGGATGCTGGGCAGTGAGGTGAGTCTGGGTTTGCAGGTGGTCATCTTCCCTGCCTATATGGAGATAGCCCCTATTCCCCAAAGAAGGGTGAAGGCTGGCACACAAAGCAAAGTAGAACAGTGACAATGTGGCCTGAAGTCCTCCCTGGAATGTAGACCCTAGCTATGTGAATTTACAGGTTGATTTGAGTTTCAGACACTTGCAAACAAATGTTTGCACCTGTTGCACTCAGCCACGGTTCTGTAGGTCCTCAGCATCTCTCCCTGATTCCAAGGAGGACACCCACCTTGGGACCCTACATCCCAGGCAGGGTCTGAACAGGGCAGAGCTGAGCCCCTGCCTCTTGATCTGGGCCCCCTGCCCCTGTGAAGGAGGCTGTGTGGGTGCCAGCGTTTCTGGTGGTCATTCTGATGGTCAGACTAATGACACACACTGAACACAAAACCCAGCATGTTTCTCACACATGCAGCTGGGAAGCCAGCCCTCTCCTAGGCTGCTGGTGCATGCAGTTCATCTGGGGCACTAATTCTCTGAGAAGAACTGAGTAACTGGAGTAGCAGCTACAAGAACAGTAAGATTTTGGTATTAACACAGCTATTTCCCATGACAAATATGACAACTTCCAGAAAGTCCAAATCACTAGTTAATACTCTGACCATGTACAGCTCCCAGCTAGTAAAACACCCCAAGGATGCAACTTGCCTCTTTCTATCCCATAGAACATACATCTTGGCATAATGGCCCAAGCCTGGCTCCATAAAAAGCTTAATGCCTTTGGGTCCATAGTCACAGAAGTGTTTTAAGAGAGGCAGTGTGACAAGGTGCTGAAGAGCACAGGCTTTAGAGTTAGAACCTAACACCAACCCCAGTCACTGCCTGTCTGGCCTCAGGAAGGTCATTTAACTCTCTGAGGCTCAATTAAAAGGTGATACCACTACCTCGCTTACCGCACTATTGTAGGGGTTAAATAATTCAGTAGGAGCAAAATGCAATGACTGGCACACATTATACACCCTACTGTTATTAAACTTCTGTTGGAGTCAGGATACATGGGGACTCCTAGTGCTGCTCTGCTGTCCTACAGCTTGGCTTCTCTCCCTCTAATCCCTCTTAGGTCAAATTCTACGATCCTGAAACAAAACAAACCTGAGCCGGAGCTTTGTTTCCAACACTGAGCTTCCACTATCACACACAAACAGGAATGAGTAGACAGATATTTCCTACCGCTCTTGCTGAGGTGCACTATTAAGTTCTCTCTGGCACTGTGCACCACACACGCTGGTACACCTGTGTTTCCATGTACACCTGTGCTGCCGGAGAGACGAGCCCCTCCCACAGGCCCAAGCACAATGTGGATGCTCTAAGGGCACATCTGGGCGGACTGCATGGTCCCGGGGTAGGGGTGATAAGAAGTGCCCAGGCAGCTAGTGACCTGTCAGGGAGGCCAAGGAATGGGCACATGGGGCTGCCCAGAGCAGGTGGAGGCCAGGGGCTGGTGAACTTCACTCCAGAAGCATGGTGGGAAGGACTATATTTGTCCCAACAGGCTGCAGGAGGACTGGCTGAGCTGCCACATTTAGCCCACACAGCTATGTTTGACCACTTGGAATCCTAAGGAATTATGAGTATCTATATTCCCTTAAGCTCTGTGTAACCTGTCATGTAAGTCAGGAAACCTGCTCTTGAGAGAATGCCTTTTGTTTTCCTCATGTCCTAAAGCCAAGTCTAACTTTTTGCTCATTGTATTTTCCCTCCTAAAGCCTAGGACAGAATCAGGAGCCGGCGCCCTCTGCCACTACCCTATCTTCTGTTGCTCTCACCACACCACTGTGCCCTGGCTCCCCTTTGCTCCCACTGTTCCCTCCCCTTTAATCTCAACCAACTCAGTCCTCCACCTCTTCAAGGCACCACATGCACGCTACCTCCTCCCAGAAGCCTTCTCAGCATTGTAATCCATAGGAATTCTCATCAACTCAACTCTGAGAACTGGGTGAAACAGATACTTTTACAGTCATTGTACATAAGTCTATTATTTGGGGCTATTTCCTTTCCCAGCCCAGACTATACGGAAACATCTCAAGATCGAAGAGCCTCAATTTTGCTCTTGCATTTCCCCATGTCTTCTGCAGACGTGGGTACACAGAAGTGCCCCAAAGATACTTAGAGCTGAAAGGGGGAAGTATACGTGTTGGTCTCTAGTCAATAGCCCCAATCTCAAGTCAGTGTGGGGAGACCCTTCGCCATGTGCTGCCTCATATCCCTGCTTCTAAGAGCCTGCATGGAGATCCCTGTGTTTAAAAGCTCTCTGGCCACATACACTGGGGACTGTGGGAAGGCATGCCCCCACGGCAGTTGCTGGGGGCTATGGGCCCCTCGCCCACCCTCTCAGACCCACAGCTGAATAAAGGTCACATTCCTGTAGTCTATTTCGTGGCTCAGACATAAGAAGTGGTTTTCACAGTGGGAGCTTTTAGAGAGCTGTGGGAAGGGAACAATAGCATTCTCTTTCAGGCAGAATGCCTCCCGCTTCTGAGGGAGCTTTGCAGCTCTCTCTTTGCTGTGAAGGCTGATTTAAAGCATGAAGCTTTCTCACCTACAGAGAGGGGCCCAGCATTCATCTCCCAAATGGAGATGGGAGACTACTGGATAGCCTCAAAACCATGTGATTCCATGTGGAACTTGACCCCCAAGCAACAAAACCGAGAAAACACATCCGTAGTACCCTATGAACCAAACACACACACACCAGCTCTGCTTCCACTGGAGGCTCTGAAGAAGGGACCATTTATTTTTGGAGGGACCCTTTGGTTCTGACCAAGAAAAGGAAGAGATCAGAGTTGTGTGTTCTCATCTGGAAATCAGAGACCTCATAGCAGAATTCACAAGAAACTGAGGAGTCAGAGTTGAAAGCTGTCAGACTTTCAGATGTCTTCATTTGGGATCCAGATTTGACAAGACCTGTGTGGCCTTGGCTCCAGTGAGGTGACACTCTCAGAAAGGCGAGTGTTCGAGGAAGGCGGGACTCCTGTAGTCACTTACCTTTAGATCCAGGTACTCCAGGTCTTTCTTCAGCTGGAGGTAGGTATCGTCGGCCTTCAAATGAACAGAGAGAGGGAAAAAAATTTTATGAATACCAAAAGTTTCTAAAACTCAGGTTTCATGTGTGAATCATTTGCACTGTACAGCTCTGGGGACAAAAGACCATAGCAAATCAGCACATCTGGGGGAACAGATGAAACACGATGTCTCAGTGCAGCTTAGAGCCCCCTTTCAGCATAACAGGTCTTGCAAGTCACTATGGGGAAAGCCAGCTTGTGCCCCATTGGCTGAGGGGAGAAGTTGGTGGGGAGGATCCCACTGAGGGCTGGGCAGCAGCATTGCTGAGTGGTGCTGTGCTGAGATAGAACCAGGAGGTCTATCTAGAAGAGTACAGGCAACCCTTAAGCAAGGGCCCATTAGTCACCAATGCTCCAATCCTTCTTATCAAACCTTTGGACCGGCTCACTTCACATCCATGAATTACGATGACCCTGAATGGTGTGCATGGATGCCTAGAATAGGCAGGGAGAGAACCTGGGTGACCCGGGAGGTTGCAAAGTGACCCTGGAAGTTGAGCCTCTTTTTGCTCAGCATGGAGGCAACACAGCCATGTTGGGAGCTAGTCAAGTGCTTCCAGGGTCAGACCTCTCAGCTTGTGGCCTCTCTGACAGTGTGTTAAGTTTTCAGTCCAACTACCAGAAGAAGTGAAAATAACGAAAAAAGACTCAGCTCGGCGCCTGTGGCTCAAGCGGCTAAGGCGCCAGCCACATACACCTAAGGTGGCAGGTTCGAATCCCCAGCCCGGGCCCGCCAAGCAACAATGATGGCTGCAACCAAAAAATGGCCAGGCGTTGTGGCGGGCGCCTGTAGTCCCAGCTACTTGGGAGGCTGAGGCAGGAGGCTCGCTTGAGCCCAGGAGTTGGAGGTTGCTGTGAGCGTGATGCCATGGCACTCTACCCAGGGGGATAGCTTGAGGCTCCGTCTCAAAAAAAAAAAAAAAAAAGAAAAAAAAGAAAAAAGACTCTTTGGCTTCCTAGAACTCACCTTTTCCCGTACAGCAGATCACAGAAGCTAATTGGGAGGCAGTGGGGCTATAAAAGCTTAAGAAAATGGCCTCAATGCCAATTTTTCAGCAAACTGTGAGGGTCTCCCACACAAGCAAGCCAGGGCTGGGGAAGATGGTCCTTGTTTCAGCCACACAAATAAACCACATGAGACATTCAGGCAGTGCTCTTATGCATGGGAAGGCCTAAAGGACCATTGTCAGGAACATAAGTGGCTTGCAAGGTGTTATTTCTGTCCCTAAACTGTCCTCTTAGCCACCCATACTTTCCCAATCAGCCCAGTCCTTACATACTTTCCACAGGAGTAAGGACAGAGCAGAGCAATGTTATTAAAAATCATCCAAATTCACAACTTATAGTTTTTGCACTTACATTTGTTTTTCTGAATACATTTCCAAAAAAAAAAAAATACATTTCCTTAGTCCCTCACAACTCACTAAGATAGGATGGGGCAGGACACTGACAGTCCTGTCACCTTCTTCATCTGTCCCCTGGCTATCTCTGTGTAGCCTAGAAGGACCAGCTTCACATGGCCGAACCTATTCCCGCCAGAGGACAGCTCAAGGGAGGAATCAGTTCCTTTAAGTTACTCAAGATGCCCAAGAGAGCAATTCTCTGGCTATTCTACAAGGAGCTTCTCTACAAAGCCCCAAGTCCTGGAAATAGTTTAGAACACTGAGCCAGACAGGACCTGGATGTGGCTCCAGTCTGCATACTTCTAGCTGAAGGATCCCAAGCCAGTCACTTCCCCTTCTGGATCTACTTGCCTTGGTGCAGTCATCACTCCTGTCCTAACTAACCTCTCCCAGTTTCCCGTGAGGTTCAGAAGCATATGAGATGTGAGGATGCTTTGCAAGCCTGCAGGGCCCTGTCCATATAAGAGAGGGCACACTGCATCCTCCCTCCAGGCTGACTCACACATGCCTTTCAGTATCTCAAGGGGTGCCCATGGTGGCAAGAAGGCTAATGGCCCTTTGGACATGACCACACACCAGCCTGGCAGTAACTACTAACAGCCACAGAAGCACCATTTTAGGTTTCTCCCACCACATGCAGCCCTCCTCCCCAGTGCCAGCAGGATTGGCTCCACCACTGCCACACAGTGTCTGGCAGTAGCATCCAGAAGCAACAGGCAGGGAATGAGGGAGAGAGCCAGACAGCAAAGACAGACCAGAGCACAGGCATGAGAAAACACAGTCAGCATGTCACTCCCCAGCCCCTGGCCCTAAGAGGGCCCACCGGCGCTGACCTGACAGGTGGGAAAGGCCAGCTGGTGCTGCAGTAACTGGCCGGCGGCGAAATTTCGCACACTGGCCAACTTGGCCTGGTGTTGCCGTAACCGGGTGAGAAGCAAGGAGAGCTCCTCCAGCTGCAGGTGTGTAGACACATCACGAGGAAGTTAGCCACCGCAGGAGCGCGCCGCTATAATTATACTCTTCACCCCGGTGCTGGGACACCACTGATGTGACACCATTAAGCAATTATTGCATTAATTCTGTCATTAGGACAAATAAAGGCAGCAAAGGGGCTGCAGGAAGTTGTTGTTTTAGGAAAGCAACAGCCAACAGTGCAACCTCACCCAGACTCGAGCTTTACAGACAGATTTAACTAATCAAAGGAAAGACCAGGGAAGAAAGGAGTGGAGCTAATGGGAGAGAGGGTAGGTGGATGGAAAAGGCTTCCAGCAAAATTCTACTCCTAAGAAGTCCGATATTCCCCTACACTTCCCCTCAAGTTCTTCACCAGATCTGAGAGGACCCAATGCCAACTGGGTGACCTTGAGCAAGTCATTCGACTTCCAAGAGCCTCAGTTTCTTCTTCTCTAAAAAGGGGTTGGGACACATTTTCTCAGGACCACTTGAGGCCATGTGTTCCCAGGTGGCCATACACATTCAGCTCAAAATAAAGCTCTTTAAATATATCTTTACATACATAAAACAGGGCCTGATGGCTGTGCTACATGTAGACTGCATTTAACTGGCTCAGAGGAAGGAAAACACCAGATGAGATAGGGCTTTGTAGGCTATACCATGTCATTTACCTGGAGGGGGCATGAGGTGCTGCTTACCGATTTTCCGTGTAAACTGGGAGCGCTGACTGTGTGGGTCATGTAACCAATGGAGGGCATGGAGCGGCGGTCTATGTGAGAAGCGTTCTGCAGGTGGGGAGACAAGCAGTCAGGCTGAGGGCGGGGCTGAGAGGCCAGGCTGGAATCAGAAGCCCTCCCATCCAGCCCCAGGACAGCCTACCATATGCTACTTCCCCCTCTTGAGCCTCAGATGTCTCATCTGTGAAAAGGGGATACACACCTTCCTCACTGGGTTATAACAATGTTAAACTATGAAAGCTCCCTGCAAAGTTAAAACCTGAGTTATTATAAACAATTGAACTCACTGAACACAGACATCTTTTCCTGCCTTCTGTAAAGAAGCAGACTTCTAGTGGTCTAACCCTGGGCAAGTTACTACATTGTCTCTCAATGCCTCAGAGTTCTCCTATATGCAATGGGAATAAGCATAGCACCTACCCCACACGTTTGTTGTAAGAATTAAAGCAAGGCCTTTAGGACTATGCCTGGCATCTGAAAGTATTGCATATTTGTTAGCTATCTATTATCCTAAATTGCTAAAATTTGTATTCAAACCAGGGTAAGGCTTCTAGTATCCCGATGCTGGACCCCAGTGGTAAGGTAGAGTGCCCTGAGACTCACCTTAATAGCATGGCCCCGAGCCTTCCTGGGAGAACCCCCCAGTGAGATGTCCACACTCCTCCTCTGGTCTGGTGGCTTCACAGTGACCCGCTCTGCTGGTACGTGGGGCTGCCGGGGTGGGAAGACCCTTGGGGGTCCCGGGGGAGGGATGTCTGAGGGAGACGGAGGCACAGAGATGGAGCGGGGCACCTCCAGCATGCTCCTGCTCCGGCCCTGGTCAGTGAACTCTGGGGAGCCCATGCAGATGGGTGCTGTGGGGCTGCCATGTCGGAACTGCTGGCGCTGCTGCCACTCATACAGCTGCCACACGGTGCCATCCCGGTGCGCCCGGCGTTCCTCACTGGACATCTTCAGGTGGCTAGCCCGGTCCTGTGCATACTTGTAGTCACTCGGCAGGTTGCGGGGAGGGGGCGAGGAGCCCCCTGAGGGGTGTCGTGTGCTCCTAGGAAGAGTCTGGTAGTTTTCTGGAAAGGACAGGGACTGGCCAGGACCCTGGCGAGGAAGCGTCTGGTCTAAGGGGAGGCTGAGGAGAAAAGGCAAGAACAGGTCAGGCAACAAAGCAAGTAGCCTGCAGGGTTTGAGGATACAGCTAAGTGACTCCACAAAGCTAGGCATGTTGGGGAGCCCTGTAAGAATCCCAAAGAATTATCAAAGCCAGCACCCAGGACTTTAGTCACTCTCCTCTTTTCAGGAGACTCCAAAACTGCCACTCCTCTGCCAGGACAACTTGGCTGCCCCATGCCCATCACTTCAAGTGCAATATGATTAAACGTGCCAGCTCTTTCTCTCCCGTTTGCCAGCAGTCAGCTCTTCCAATGGATGTGTATATTTCTAGGAAAGGCCTCATAATTCTCCCTCTGCCTGGTATCCTGGCACCAACTTCTGGAGATTCTTAAAGGAAGTAGCTGGCATCAGGTCCTTCCTTTTTTTGGACTCCTCCAGTCCAGATACTAATTACCTCTCCCGAGACAACACTGAGTTGCTCCTAACTAGTTTCTACCCTGTTCATAGTCAACTCCTCTGATCTAATCACTCTCTGACTCCAAAAACTTCTGTGGCTCCCTGTTCACTGTGAAATAAAATTTAAGCTCCTTAGTCCAGTACTCACAGGTTTCTAGCACCTGACCTCAACCCACTCTGAAGTCCTACTGTTTTCTCACTGCTTCTCCTACTAGGGCCAGGCCAGATGCCTGGGGTCCCAAACTGAAGGAGACACTCTAGCTAAGGTGTACCCCTTCCCTTGCCAGTGCCTGAGAGAGGGGCCCCAACCTATTCCTGGCCTAGCCTCCTCTACACCTAAGCAACTTCTCATAGTAGAAAAGCAAAGGCAGACAGTCTGACCTGGGTTTGAATCCAAGCTTTACCATTATGCTGGCTCTGTGACCCTAGGCAGCTTACCTGACTGCTCTCACTTCCACTTCCCTGCCTGTGAAGATAGTATTCCCTGCCTCGTGAGGCTGTTCTGATGAGATGGGTTAGGAAATGCAACTTCCATGTCTGATATACTCCATGTCTGAAGGTCCTTCACTTCTTCCTTATTCTCATGACCTTGCTCTCACCTCCCCCTACCTGTATAGGCTCCACCTCCCCCATTTACACAAATCTTACTCATTCTCCAGGACTCTGCCCATATCTTTCCCACACGGGCCTTCTGTAAAGCTGTAGCCCTCAGTGTTCCTATTCTGTTTGACCTGGTCATTGGACTGTCTGTACTTTTCCAGGGTCCTGTATTGACATGACCTTTCATCCTTGCAAAGCATCTCTCTCCTGATCATGTTGAAAGTTCTGAGGACAGACACCGTATCTCACACTCTGTGGTAGTGTCCACAGTCTAATAAAGTCCTGGTGAATAACCAGCTCTTCAATGAACACACACCCCTCCAACATACACAAAAGCTGGGTATGCTTGCATAAATTACCACCAATTAACCATCTTATTGTAGGAGAAAGAAAAAACATTCAGCAAGGACAAAGTATGGAGTTTTACTAAGCCTTAAAACTAACCTGAGATATAGCATGATGTTGTAAAAAAAGAAGAGGTTTTAGAGGCAGATGGGCCTGAGTTGAAATCCTGATTCTGCCTCTGCCTATCAATTTTATCTAACAAACTTTTATCTAGTGCTTACGTCATGCCAGACATTGTTCTAAACTAAAGCTACTTGAGGTGTTGCCCGTGGGCCAGAAGCACTGGCACCATCTGGGAACTTGTTAAAGATGCAGGTTAGTGAAATAAGCCAGGCATGGAAAAACAAATACTGTGTGATCTCACTTGTATGTGGGATCTAAGAAGGCTGAACTCACAGAAGGAGGCTGTGGAGGATGGTGGACAAAGATAGGAAAAAGGGAGATGTTGGCCAAAGGGTTCAAAGTTTCAGTTAGGAGGAATAAGTTCCATGATCTATTGCACAGCATGGTGACTGCAGTTAATGACAATGCAGTGCATATTTCAAAACTGCGTAAAGAGATTTTAAATGTTCTTGCCACAAAAAATGATAAGCAGGTAAGGTGATGATATGTTAATTAGCTTGATGCAATTATTCCACAATGTATACATATATAAAAACATAGCATTTACCCCATAAATGCATATAATTATTTTCTGTCAATTACAAATAAAATATATTTTCACATGCTGATTTATCAGCCCCAATGCAGACTGACCTGATATGAAACTCTGGGGTGAATGACATAGGTTTATTGGGTGCCAGGGAGCTTCCAACCCCCACTGTTTTAATAAGCCCTACAGGTGATTCTTATGCTCCCTAAATTTTGAGAAGTGCTGTTTTAATTGTTTCAAAACTCAACTCATTTAATCACTCCTTAGCTAAATGACCTCAGCCAACTGTCTTCTGAGTCTCACTTCCCTTACTACAAAATGGGGATAAGAATCACTTAATAGGCTCGGTGCCTATGGCTCAATCGGCTAAGGCGCCAGCCACATACACCTAAGGTGGCGGGTTCGAATCCCCAGCCCGGGCCCGCCAAACAACAATGATGGCTGCAACCAAAAAATGGCCAGTGCTGTGGCGGGTGCCTGTAGTCCCAGCTACTTGGGAGGCTGAGGCAGGAGACTCGCTTGAGCCCAGGAGTTGGAGGTTGCTGTGAGCTCTGAGGCCATGGCACTCTACCCAGGGGGATAGCTTGAGGCTCTGTCTCAAAAACAAAACAAAACAAAAAGAATCACTTAATAATTTGTTGTCAGGAGTATAAATAGTTGTCATTCAAATATGGCAGTTTCTTCCTTTTAATGGTTATCTTTGCAATTGCAGGAAGTATTTTGAAGGTCTCTTCAATCTAGACTTGTGTTTGACAGGCGTGTCTGCTTGCCACTAGGTGTCAGGGTTTGCTATCATTTCCCTAAGTTAGGCCTAAATGTGTCCCTGAGAAAGGGGCAGCGCCTGAATTCTCCAACACTGCCAGCTGGTGGCAGTGGCAGAAACAAGGTTGGGGGGGGCTTCCTCTGGGAGTTTGGGACTTTACCAACCGTTGTTCATTCTGCCTGAAGCAAAACACAAGCCACACAGAGCTTGTCCAAGCTGTCTCCCAGACGCGTGCTCCTGTCTGGGCTGCCCTCCCACTCCAGGGTTTGTAAGCCCAGGGTCCTCCCACTAAACAGTGGCCCAAAGTCCTGGGCTCAACATTTAAATTGTGCTAATTCCTCACTGTCTGATACCAGTACCATGGTGAGCCCTGGCTCCAGACGCCAAACCATGATAGCTAACTGATGGCAAAGGGAGAGTCACAGGAGGTAACGCCATGAGGTGAGATAGATACCCCATGGGAACAGGAGGGAGCTGCAAATCCATTTCCTAGTCCCTAACTCCAGCCTTGCCCCCAAATGGGGCTCAAGGTGTTCTCACACCTTGCTTGGTGGCCACAGGCCCTCTTCATCATTAAATAAGCACTAAATAGGATTTTCTGAAACAGCCACTAGAAAATGGCCATGTTGAAATGTACTATCATTTTTAATAACCAATTACCTATGTAGCAGATACTCCTCACCCAGGACTTTCACTTTCTATTCCACTCCATTGCAGGATTTGAATCCTCTGACTCTACCCCCATCTCCCACTTTTTATTTTACAGGTATGCATTACTTCACACATGAGGGAGGTGAATGGAAGGCTAGAATTTCAAAACAAGCTCTTAAAGTGAGTTTAGATTCAAAGCCATGTCGGTCTGTCTCCTGCAAACCATATTCTAATGGAGTTTATTGATGTAAAACATAGTATATATCTCCAAGTACTGAAAGAACAGTTAGAGATAATTCCCTGTGCAGTCTGAAGCTGAGAAAACAGGATCATATTGCAGTCCAAATAACCCTCCTTCCAATGCTCAGTCTAATGAGATTAGCACAGTCTTAATTATAGGCAAAGCAGAGATATCCATCTTCTACATTTTTAAGTGGAAAACAGAGGAAAATCTTTTCTTAAGCAGCCAGGTCTCTTTATTACTTATTGTAAAACATTACAAATATATCTTTAAGAAAAAAACCCCTAGGACTGCAAGATGTAAACCTTACAAGATACAAGGAATGATCTGAGACTGAGCAGATACTTTGTTCACTTAGGGACTGGCAGCACTTTCTTGTCCACATTCTGCTTTCAATTCTTCACTTTTTTTGTTTTGAGATAAAGAGTCTCACTGTGTTGTGCCATGGCCTAAGTCTACCTCACAGTAACCTCAAACTCCTGGGCTCAAGAGATCCTCCTGCCTCAGCCTCCAGAGTAGCTGGAACTACAGGCACCCGGCATGACACTAAACTAATTTTTCTATTTTTTAGTAGAGACAGGGTCTCACTCTTGTTCAGTCTGGTCTCAAAGTTCAAGAGATTCTCCCACCTCAGCTTCCTAGGATTACATGTGTGAGCCACTGCACCCATTTATTTGCTTTTTTAGCCCACTGAGACCTGCTTCCACCACTAGGCTGAATTTCTTTCACAGTGTATGCAGTGACCTCCGAAGCTGTTCTTTACAGACATAATGTCTCCCTGCCCCTTAGAGAGGAATGGTTCATAGCCTCAGGAAATCCAGCTCTTCCCCAGCCACTCTCAGAGTCTCACTGCTGACTTATCATCTTTCAGTTCTATGATGCATCCCTCCCCCCAGCCCCCAAATTCAAGTTATTATGTGGATCAGAACAATATAGGATATGGGTTGCCAGAAACGTTATAAAGAGACATTTCAGGCTTGGCGCCTGTAGCTCAGCGGCTAGGCCACCAGCCACATATACCTGAGCTGGCAAGTTCGAACCCAGCCCAGGCCTGCCCAACAACAATGACAATTACAACAAAAAAAATAGCTGGGCATTGTGGTGGGTGCCTGTAGTCCCAGCTGCTTGGCAGGCTGAGGCAAGAAAATTGCTTAAGCCCAAGAGTTGGAGGTTGCTGTGAGCTGTGATGCCACAGCACTCTACCCAGGGTGACACAGTGAGATTCTGTCCCCCCAAAAAAGAGAGACATTTCATAACAAACAACTTATAACTGCATATCAACCACCCAGATTTGAAAGTCCTCTCTGTGCCTCTGTCACAAAGGTCTCTCACTGGCCACACCGTCTTACTGGTTTCTTCCCCTCCTAACTTCGAAATTCTAGCTCTACTAAGGAGGGAAATTCAGGTTTGCTCATCTAAGCCCATCAAGCAGTTCAGTGGAACAAAGCCTTCTACTACTGAGCAAAACACCAGCAGAAACCCTGAGGCTCTAGACCAGTGGTTCTCAACCTTCCTAATGCCGTGGCCCTTTAATACAGTTCCTGTGAGTCATGACCCACAGGTTGAGAACCACTGCTCTAGACTTCCCATCAGCGATTCCTAGTCTCTCTGACAGTAACACACCCAGGCAGAAGTCCCTATGCCCAATGAATGCTCATTTGCCTCCTCCATCTCCCACCTCATTATTCTTTTATAAAGAATTGACTTTAGCCTAATCCTTGGGTTGGGAATCCTTAGTGTTATGACTTTGGCCCTCTGCTACTGTTTACTCTGAGCTAGGGATTCTCAACACCGGCTGCACATTAGAATCATCAGGGGAGCAGGGGAAGGGGAGGATGTGCTGCTTTTTAATGTCCAGGCTTCCAACAAGACCAACATAATTGGATTCCTGAGCATGGGACTAAGGCCTCAGTAAACGTTAAAACATTCCAGGTGATTCCAATGTGTAGTCAAACAATAGTTTCTTGACTATGACCAGAATCACCCAGGGAGATTTGAAAACATACTGATGCTTTGACATTACCCCAGACCAATTCAATCCAAATTTCTGGGGTTGGCCTTCAGATGATCAAATTGTGTGACCAGGATGAAAAACCATGGCTCTAGGCTCTAAGCTTCCACCCAGTAGTAATCTCAACTACTGCCAGGACATGAGCTCCCACCTCTAGGGCAATGACTCCCAAATCTGTCTACAGTCTGTACCCACATTCCCCATAATCTCCTGGCCATCTCCACATGGATTCTCCATAAGTGCCATATTTCATGTCCAGCTCACTTCTCTCCCTTATGTGACATCTGGTGCATGGCACCACTTCTACCTACTAACTGAGCCAAAGCTGAACGATAACTCCCACTCCACTGTAGCCACTTGTATGTCCAAAATGAAAATCCTGATCGACCCATCAATTTTTCCTTCCTTAGCCCTCCCTATTCAGCAACCATCTAGTTCAGCAGTTCTCAACCTGTGGGTCGTGACCCACAGGAACTGTATTAAAGAGTCACGGCATTAGGAACGTTGAGAACCACTGGTCTAGTTGCTCAACTCAACATTCTAGAGATCATCCTTGTTCCTCTCTTCTCTGCATCCTTCATATTCAATTTATTACTAGGCTCTGTTGTTTCAGCCTCTAAAATGTACCTCAAATCTGCTGATTTCTTTTTATTTCCATTCTCATCCTCCTGAACTACTGCCATAGCCTCCTTCCTTGATTTTCATCTTCTTTGTGAAATATTCGTTAGATCACACCACCTACCTGCTTAAAACCTTCCACTGATATCCTCTTTCATTTTTTCAAATTCAGTTTCCTCATATTGGAGTATGAGGACCTATAAGAGGCTGCCCCTGCCAACTTTCTAATCTCACTCCGCAGTGAGGTCATCTTATAACCAGCTACCAGAGGGCTGACCTCACCCAGCACCAAGGAGAGCAGCTTCCCTTCCCTGGGTCCTTGAGCAGTAGATTTCTATTTTCCATAAAACACAAGATTGGAACGAATAGGATTGATACCGTTGGGAATGGGAAGGGATCTTAGCCATAATACAACAGGCCTTTCATGCTCCTGATCTGTTCCACAACAACACATTTCCGCAAATGTTCCACGACATTTCCAGTGGGGAAAATCTGCCACTTAGGGGATTTCCATTGTGATGTATTCACTGTCTACCCTCATAGGTGCCCAGGTGGAGCACCTATGGGGTTACCCAGAAATGCACAACATACTCACACACCTGAAAGCAGGCCTAGGCTATTGCCCTAGGAGCACAACCACCTCCAGAGCCCACAGCTAGAAAGTCTAGGTCTTGTCAACAGGGAGAATAAAGTGTGGTGTTTTAGAGCATGTTATCAGGCTATGGCAGACATGGTCTGAGAGCTGGCACATCCACTGCAGCCACTCCAGCCCTTGGGGAGCTTTCTGAATGACATTGGCTTTACTAACTCCTCTCTTGTCAATGGCCTTTAGAAGCCTGAGGACAGTGAGGGGACTTTGCCAGGTCTTCATAATGAAGACAAAACACAGTGGATCCTAGGGACAACAGAGAAGCTGGTGATCCTGAATTCTTTATGTTCATAATTGTGTCCTAATTAATCTAAAATTATAATAAAATACAGACAGTGCTTTGCAAATAGCAAGAGATACATACCTTCTAAATAATTAAAAACTGATTCTTGAAGGAATGGGTAAGATAAAGCCTAATGTCAACAGTGCCTAACTGCTTCTCTGTGTGCCTGGAATTAAAAATGAAAATGTATTTATTCTAGTTTCTATAAATATTTTTTAGAGGCAGAGAAGCAGCAGCACAAGAGGAGAAGACCAGTTACCAGTTACATGCTGAATGCCTTAGAGACCCTTCCTGGGGAAGAGAAAAGTGTACAATTGTGTGTGGGCTTTGGAGGCTCACAGATATGGCTTTGAACTTTGGCTTTGCCACTTATCTATATACCCTGGGAAAGGTCCTTCACCTTCCCAGCCCTAGTTTCTCTGTCTATATATTAGGAATAACACCCCCTCATTGCTGGGGTAGTTATGGGGATATGTGTAGATAATGAAGGTACAGAGATTAAGGCCAGCATTTACGCAAGTCCTAGGTAAATGATAGCTACTGTCACTGTATTATCATGCTCATTATTAGCGGCAATCCTGAGTCTGTTACTGACCTCCTGCCATCCGCTTTCTGGGCCTTTGCCCAGTGCTCCACCTGGGCCAGGTTGCTCTTCCTCTGGCTATGCTTTTCAGGGTTGGTCCTGGAAGGAAAGGTCCGCTGGTACCCAACGGTCCCATTCTGTTCTCCTGGGCCATATGAGGCAGGGAGCATGCCATTCTTCTCTGCCCGCTGGGGCTGTGCCTGCTGGCCTCTTGGGCCACCTGGTAAATCCACAAACAAGGCATCCTCCTCGGTTGGTGAGTATGGGGACCTGGCCTTGGTCCTGTCCCGCTTGCCCTCCAGAGGGTCCCTCTGGGAACGGTACCGTTCCGCTTCCTGCTCCTGCCTTTCAAAGCCGAAGAAGTCATCATGGCCATGATGAGGACAATCTCTTGAGTGTCCAGGTCCCACATGGCCACATTCACGACAGGACTCTGTGTGGTTGGTCTGGGGGACAGCCTGCCGCTCCACCTTCTCCACGTCCCTGCAATGACAGCAGCACATTCAGTTTGCCCCACAGTAAAGACTTCACGCTGTACATAATCACCTCCAGGCCTTTGCACAGCTGTCCCCTCTGCCCAGAACCTTTTGCACTCATGCCCTCATTCTGCCCACCTAACTTCTACTCCTTTAAGGACATAGCTTAAACGTCACCTTTCCCAGGAAGCCATCCCTAACGCACACTTCCAGTCTAGAATGGGATCTTACGCTGACCCACTGGCACACTAATCACACTGAATCATAACTGGGTTTGATTCCCAATTAGACTATGAATGCCTCTGGCTAGCGGCCCATCTGGCCAGTCTGGTATGGAATATGTGCTCTATAAATACTACTGCATGAAACAATGAATAAATTATACATGTGGCACTCACAGGCAGACCATTCCTGTGCTCCCATCCTGCCCTACACTACTGATTCTGCCTTTCCTCTCTCCTATTTGTCCATCTGTCTACCTGGGGCTTGGCTAGAAATCCTCCAAGCCAAGGATCTCTCCGACTGGTGTCTAGCACAGCCCAGAGAAGAAATGAGAGCATAATTATCACTCTTCAGGGATGGTGAAGAGAGAATAGGCATGGTAACCCTCTTTATATGATAGCTTACAAGGGAATCACTCAAATGGAAAGCCACAGTGACACTGACCCAACGACAACTCTGTGAAGTGGTATTAGATCTTAGAGGTAAGGAAGGTGAGGTGTAGAGGGGGTTGATGATTGCCCAAGCTTGTACAACCAGAACAGTAGGGCCCAGGATTAACCCTAGGTGGACTCCAGAGCTCATGTGCTTTGGGGTCTGCTCCCTACCTCTTCTCCATGTGTGACCCTGGCCTATATACATATGAACCTGGAAACTGCAAAGGAGAATGGGTGGTGGTGGTGGTGGTAGGTCAGGATGTGCACTGAGGCTATAGGAAGAGCTCTGGAACACAGTGGAGGGCTCCTTGCTCACGGCCACCTCCTATTGCCACTGCCTTTCTCCCTGCCTCCCTGGGGCAGGATCCTAGTTGTCTGGTTCCCCATCACCAAGTACTAGGCATATAACAGTAGCTGGGCAAGCTTTGCAGAATTTATATTGGGAGGGCAGCGTACCTACTCCACCCCAGCTCAGATGGCTCAGAAAAATTACGAGGGACCCACACATGGGCAGCTAGTCTAGTTATCCTTGTTAGTGAATAGGTCTTGGCCTTAAGAGCCATCACTCCTCAAAATGGTCACCCCAGAGGGGCCTTTATGTCAGCAAGAGAGTATATAACAGAATAGCTACTGTATTTATATCTCGGTGGCCAGACCCCACGTGTCTTTGCAAGAACTTCAGAACCTCAAATACCACTAATCAGCACAGATTCAGGGAAGAATTAACCCATTTGGGAGCTAGTTAGAATTTAACATAAAGTGAAAATACAACCCCCCAGCCCAGGGTTTGCGTCTCACTGTGTGTAGGCCTGTTGGCCTTAACTATGGCATGGATACTGAGATAAGCCATCATACTGCTCATGGTCCTTCCTATGGGAACCCCAAGCTTTGTGGGCAGAAAAATTAATGTTTCTTTGGACCTCCTTTTATCCATCACTACAATACACCTTTCCTTCCTACCCTTCACTCTATATCCAATTTTCATTTGGGGACCACCCTTCCCCACTCTTAATACATGTGGTTTGGGTGCTCTGAATCTAGCACTGTCTGTCCAACTGGGGCTCCCATGTCCCAGTGCTTGGTTCAGAGGTTGACCAATCTGGGCCACAGTTAGCTTTGGGACTTGGGTTGGAGGTGGACTTGAGCTGCTACAACTATGTGGGAAGATGCTGTTTGAGAATGAAGCCAGCACCAAGGAAAGCAGATAGAAATGTAATTTGGTTACTCCAAAGAACTCCTTCCTAGATTTAGCTATACCTAAACGAGATAAAGCTTGGGATATTTTGGTTGTGAACCAATAAACTCCTATTTCTATTTAAATTAATTTGAGTTTGGATCCTGTTATCTATAGAAGAAGTCTTACCTATTACATTATTTTATAACGACATATCGAAATTGTGTTCTCTGAGGGCCCTTCCATTATGAACATTCAGTGTGTCTAGAAGCTCCAAGGATAGGAAAATACGGGAAATATTCAGGGGTCAATACTTAAAGAAAAAGGAATTTTTACCATAAGTTTATAAAAGAGACAACTCTGTTCTACAATGTACACAGGATAGGTTTTAACTTTGTCTTTCCTTTCGTCCTTTAATCCTCCATAATCAGATTAGTGTAACCCAAACCGGCATCTTCAGGTTGCCTAAGTTGGCCTTTATCTTCTTTACTATTTCTCAAATTCAGGAAACCACCCACAGAGGATGTGCTAAGGCTGCTGCAGAGATGATTAGAGCTCTGGCTGCCCTCTGGGTCACACCCTCGCCAAGTCACTGAAGCTTTATATCCCAGCAAACTGCTTTGGTTTCACTTGCTCTGCTATTTCCAGTGGTTACTCCAATTGTGAAACCCAAGTAACTGTATCTCCTTGTTATTCACACCCCGAAGATAAACAGCACCTTGTCATAAAAGCCAGATAGTGAAACAAATATGCCACTTATGTGCATGGCATTAGAACTGAAGGGAAATGAAGGATTCTTCAACTAAAGACCCAAGCATTGTGAGTGCAGTGTCTGAGCCTAACCAATTGTAATACCAGTTTTTCTTTACTAATCAAACACCTTGTATTTGCAGAATACCTATGTAACTTGCAGTGGGACAGGCACTCGGTAAGTATAAGAAAGCAGTGGGGAAAGGGCCTTTGCCTTCAAAGACAGATGACCCTAAGGCCCCATTTAATTATGTAACCACATTTACTACCATTCTCATAAACTATTGGCCCCCAAATCATGAAGTCTACTAGTCTTCTCTGACCTTAGAGCTAATTTTATAACTATTCATCTTAATCTTTAGTGTGTGTGAGTATATCAGCATACACATTCCCATATATGTTAGTACTTCCTAGAGATAAATTTATTAGGGAGAGATAAACCCTTTTATTCAAATTAACACCAGCATTTACTGCAACATAAACTTTTCAGGGGCAACTAAAAGAGTGGCAGTCTGCTTGCCACCAGGCAGTTTTCTAGCCCCTGACAGTCATTTCCAACCAGTATGCTGTAGCACACTGGTGTGCCGGGAGAGGATCTTAGTTGTGCCTTGAAAAATTTTAAAGATCATTAATTAAATCAAAGAACAGTAAGTATATTATTTGTCTTTACTCTTTTTTTTTTTTTTGAGACAGAGTTTCACCATGTTGAGGTCGGTAGAGTGCCGTGGCATCACAGCTCACAGTACCTCAAACTCTTGGGCTTAAATGATTCTCTTGCTTCAGCCTCTCAAGTAGCTGGGACTACAGGCACCTACCACAGTGCCTGACTATTTGTTTGGCAAATAGTGGTTTGGCAGGCCTGGTGTAGCCACTGAGCTACAGGCGCCGAGCCAAATCTTTACTCTTTTTTTTTGATCAACATAATTCAACTTCTGTGCTACAGAAGTTTAACTGCAGGTTCAAGAGTGCTGTGAGATAAAACAGGCTGAAAAACACTTCCCCAAGATTTTGGGTTATGAACATCTCCTTAGTCTCATGGTTCTTGGGACTTACCTAGGACATACATTTGTGCCCAAGATGTTCAGGCTATGGCTATGGGTGAGAATGATGAAGGAAATGTACCCTACTCCCAGCCCTACCTGACTTAAACATTTAACTTACTAAGTTACAGTATTTAAGGTCAATAGGTTTTTTCGTATCCTCTCTGCTTCCCTGCATTCCCAACAATTTAACATATGACTCCTCAAATCAGGACAGTTGTCACAAAAGAGATCAGTGACACTCAATTTAGCCAAGTGATGAGGAAGAACAAACCACCGTGTGGCTCTTAATGACTGTCATTCAGGAGACCTGGCCATGCAGAGCACAGGTGTTTAGCTAAGACAATGTAAGTCTTTCCCAGGTGGGCTGCTATGCAGGTCATTGATTCATCATGAACGCCTGAAATTAGTGATTGTTCAAAAACACAGAGAACTCCTGACACTCAGTGACCATCTTGGCCATGTGTGTAACTTTTTGAAAATGACAAACCCAGAGGGCATAGGGTTTAGCGTCAGTTGGACCTGGATTTAAGAACTGGTTCTACCAGTCCACCAGCTGGGTGACCTTAAGCAAGTGACTTCTCTGGTTTCAGGTTCCTCGTCTACAAGATGGGATAATAGCTCCTGCCTTCTTGAGTTGCTGTGAGGATTAAAGAAGACACTGCAGAGAAAGAGCCCAGCACAGCATCTGGCACACCGTATGCCCGCAAATACAGAAGTCTTAACTACCCACTATCTATTCTCTCCTTCTTTGCCCCAGTTTTTTCAAAGCAGCAATGTCTCCAGCAAAAAGACTTAACATTTCCCAACCTCCCTTATAGTTGAGGGTGGTTATATCACATAACTCTGGCCAATAAAATATAAGCAGAAATTGCCAGGTAGGGTCCTCTGGGAAAGTCTTTAAAAGAAGCCAGGCTTAGCTAACCCTTCTTTTCTTCCTGCCTGGAATTTAGACTCTCTGCTGGATTGCAAGGTGACAAAAATAAGGATGAAAGTCAGACACTAAAAACTTAGGTAGAAATGACCAACAGCCTGGGTCACTGATTGTATTAATGGAGCTATTGTACCAACCTGGAACACCTACCTCTGGATTCTTGTTATCCAAGAAAACTAAGATACAGTTTGATTATGCCATGCTAAGTTGGGTTGTTCCATTACTAGTGGCCGAACAATCACTTACTGATATAAAAGGCTAAGCTTTATCACTGACAGGGGTGGGACCCCTCTATTTCTAGCACATCACAGAATGCTATGCCTGCTTAGAGCAAATTCTTATTTTTCCCTGCAAGTGAGAAGAGCACATATCTAAGACTGGCAATAATTCTCTTATTCCTTTTCTTCACAAGAATTTAGATGTTAACAAATCTTACCAAACAACTGAATACTGATTACTATTCTGTTTCCAAATCCTTTATTTTACCAGGCAATAATATTTCCCTTGACCTTAACACTAAACACACATATACTGCCACACACTCCACATTAAATCTCATTCAAAGCCTGAGGTGGAAAGAGGAATGGCAATCTGTAGGGGTTGGCTGAACCCTGGTCCTGCTGGCAGACACAGTCCTTCTGTTGTAGTCCCATTGGAAGGACTCCTCCCCATTCACCTTACCTAAATGATCAAACTGGCAACACAAGACAAGGGCCACTGATATTCTTAGAGAGTCTGATTTGAGCCAGGCCAGGAGGCACAAGTCTGACCACAGGAAGTAAGCTCACCTGTGTTAACAGATCCTGAGTCCTGAGAACTGATCCCCAATCTTGGGAATAGGGTGGGCTCAAAAGTCAGAATCTACCGTGGGCAAAATCGATAGACTTGTACAAAAAAACTGAAGAGAAAGGGGATCAAAGTTATCCAGAGAGCCCTAAGGCAGGCCTCCTCACTTGAATTAGTTCCTAGCATTTGAGGATAGAGAAAGCTGGAGAGAAATGAAGACAAGAGTTAATTTCTTCTTTTCCCCAGAGTTAACTAGTGCAGTTCCCTTGGGATGTAGGAGGACAGCCCACTACCTTTCATGCTCTGCGCTACCTTAATTAACAATAGAGGGCCTCACAGCTCTGACCACACTCCACAATTCTCTAATCTTACATCTCCAGAGAAGAGTGAGGCTGCAATATAAATGAAACAGCTAGATTGCAAAGCTGAGGTGGTCTTTTGCCTCAGTAGAGTGGCTACTGGCAAAGTCCCTTGTGAAGTAAAAGGCTTGACAAACCAGACCAAGAAGAGAATCTACCTGGGTAAGTCGTGCTACCTGGTACAGCTCCCACCTAAGTCAGTTTGAGACTTTCTAGGACATGCCACGCTGGCTCACTTTCTCTATCTCTATGGCAGTCACAGGGTCATCCATGTTTTTATGGCCAATGCTTAGTTATTATTACCATATGTTGGATCCTAATGTGTGGAAAAATTTGACATACCATCTCTAATTTCTACAAGAATCTTGCAAGTTCAGGGGACTTTAAGCCCAGTGAGACTGAGGTTACTTACAAGAAATTATCTTTAATGAAGGATAGGGGTGCTGGCAGCAGCAGTGATCACTGACTGAGCACTTACTAAAATACAAACCCCCGAACTAAGCACTTTACTTCCTCTTCTCATTGTACAACCCTTAGGACTAGAGGTATTATTTTTTCATTACAGATATTGAAAAGTGAAGCTCCATCAGGTTAACAAGCTTGTCCAGGATCATGCAACTAGTGACACAAAGCAGGACTCAAATCCCATCTTTGAGAGCTCCGAAGCCTAGTGCCAGCTGAAAATGTGTCTATAAATTACTTCTGCAGAGGGTCCAAGAAGCTTGTCTAGCTTCAGGGGCTGCCTGAGTAACACTCTACTCAGGGTGATCAGAGTAGAGAAGTCCAAAGATTTAGTTCTCCAAAGAAGAGTACAGATGCCCCCAAACATATGGACCATTTCTGAGCAGGCTGATTCCCCATGTGAGTCCGGGAACAGTGTCTAGATCACTTTTAGCTGTCCCAAGTCCTCATCTGAACATCCTACAGGTAGAGGTATCACAGCTGTTTTGTTCATCTGTTCATTCATTCATTCACCCACTGGCCTAGCCAGTCAAATATCCACGTACCTGGTGCTGATTGTAATCTCAAAAGACATAACCTTGAACACCACAATCCCAAACGTTGTGGGAATGAAATCCTGAAAGATAAAAACCTCTAACATCTAAAATCTCAAAAATCACACTCCTGAAAGATAAAAATCCAAAATGGTGAAATCCTAAAAGCTAGGTTTGGCATGGAGAAGCTAAATATCATTCCTTCTTACTATATTCTCTAAAACACAACAGAAGTAATCTGTGAAATTGTTACCTCACGAAAGGCTGTGGTAAGTTAAGCATATGATGCTATTTAATGGTGAAAGACAAAAGTTTAAAAGCAAATTATTATTGGTGCTGCAAGAAGAGAAAAATCATTTAATTGCAATGGCTGAGCAATAATCAGACTTTCAAATGGACAGCATATTCCCTTTCTCTCTCTCTTTTCTTTAAAAAACAATCTCTGTAGAAAATTGCCAATGCTCACTATATTTCAAGTCATCATGGTGGGGTATTGGGAAAAGTTTTCAATTAGCAATAATCGTGCCTCAGATAAATCTCATTGGCTATGACACTGCCACTGTGCAAAGCTGGACAGAATATTCTTACAAAATTTGTAGACCACTTTCCAAATACAAGTACACCATGTGTTGCAAAAATCACAGAAGTAAAAAATACAAATCTCCTCTGTCAATATAAATAGCGTAAAGACTTAGAGAATTCTAATTCCTTTTATGCATTTTTTGCAAAAACTTTCCATAAAAGTACATTATTTTAACACTGACTTTGTAAGCACTGTGCATATACATAAAAATGCTGAAACTTACTTAATAAATGAAGAGACGGCCTTTTTGTAAGTGTACACCTGCATTTTTGAAAGACAACTCGAGATCTCAGCTCTTTGGGTGACTGCATATGTGGATTGTATCTTTCTTGGTTCTCTGCCCATGGTCCTCTGCCCATAGCCCTAACATTTTCCTTGGGAACTCACTTTCAGTCCCCATGGCCTGAGTAGGGGTCTATCTCTGTTCCCCATGGCCTGAGTAGGGCTCTACCTCTGTTCTCCATGGCCTGAGTAGGGCTCTACCTCTGCTCCGCAGAAGCATGTATCCCAGGAGTATGCCAATCAGTGTGGTGTATTCTTTGGCCATTAGAGGCAGTTTAGGGTATAAATGTGATTTAAGCCTGTCTAATCAGAATGAATCAAGACAAGACTCTAGTTCTTTCCTACTGAACTTGAGTACAGATGAACATGAGTCTAGAACCACTGTAGCTATTTTGCCATCAGACCCTAACTATCCCAAGGATCTCCACTGCAACTCAAGACTAAATCCAACCCACAGGTGAGAAGAGTCTAGAGCCTGAGAATGATTTGCAATGACATCTTCAGCCTTAAACCAAGTAGTTTCTAAGATCTACCTTAAATTTTTCAGTGACATGAACCAATAAATACCCCCCCTTTTAAGATAAATTTGTCTGTATTTTCTGTCATCTGTAGTCAAGAGTCCCAATATAGGCTTGGTACAGCTCATATCTGTAATCCAAACATTTTGGGAGGCCAAGGTGGGAGGATTACTTGAGCTGAGGAGTTTCAGAATACCCTGGACAACATAGTGAGACCCTATCTCTACAACAAGTAGAAAAATTAGCCAAGCATGGTGGTGCATGCCCATAATCCCAGCTACTAGGAAAGCTGAGGCAGGAAGATTGCTTGAGCCCAGGAGTTTGAGGTTTCAATGAGCTATTCTCATGCAATCCTGGCCCAGGCAACAGAATATGACAGTGTCTCAAAAAAAAAGAGTTCTAATATACCAGCTATCAATCATAAAGAAAGCACCTGGCTCAGTGCCCATAGCTCACTTGAGTAGGGCACCAGCCACATACACCGAAGCTGGCAGGTTCAAGCCTGGCCCAAGCCTGCTTAATAACAATAACAACTGCAACCAAAAAATAGGTGGGCATTGTGGCGGGCGCCTGTAGTCCCAGCTACTTGGGAGCTGAGGCACGAGAATAGCTTAAGCCCAAGAGTTGGAGGTTGCTGTGTTGCTTTGAGCTGTGACGCCAACGCACTCTACGAAGGATGACACAGTGAGACTCTGTCTAAAAAAAGAAAAAAAGCACCCGCCTGTATGAATAAGGATAGAAGAATTTGAATGAGAATTACAGAGGGTAAGAACAAAATGCTTGGGGCCACCCACTTACAGAGATGGAGTTTTTTTTTTTTTTTGAGACAGAGCCTCAAGCTGTCCCCCTGGGTAGAGTGCCGTGGCATTACAGCTCACAGCAACCTCCAACTCCTGGGCTCAAGCGAGTCTCCTGCCTCCGCCTCCCAAGTAGCTGGGACCACAGGCGCCCGCCACAACGCCCGGCCATTTTTTGGTTGCAGCCATCATTGTTGTTTGGCGGGTCCGGGCTGGGGATTCGAACCCACCACCTTAGGTGTACGTGGCTGGCGCCTTAGTCGGTTGAGCTATAGGCGCCGAGCCAGATGGAGTTTTTTTAATATAGCTTACCAACCTGGAGAAAAGGCAAGATTTAGTTCTGCCTGATGAGTAATTTTAACTAAGCTGAACATCTTATTCTGGAAAAACAGAACATTTAATAAGTCTGTATTTTCTTGGCTGACAATTTCAGCTCTCAGAAAGTTAAGAGGAAATGTTATTATGTCTTTATTGTGACTCAGATGGTAGAACACGTTGGTTTCATTTTTTAAAAAGGGAAGAAATCTTGGTCAAATGTGGTCATGGGGTTTAAGAAGTTTATTAAGAATAAAGAATAATAAGAATAAATGCCAAAAATTTCAGAGAAAAGCTAGGGCCTGAGACCAGGAAAAGGGAAGCAACCGTTCTAAAACTAAAATCTGCTAATTAAAAAATACCCAAATCTTGGCTAGCTAATTAGTCCTCATGGTTCTAGGCAGACAATATTAATTAATCACAGCATTTTTTCCTGTAAAGTCCAATTTCATTCTCAAATTTCTTTTACCAAGTACCCTAGTCAGCCACAATGAAATTGAGCAAAGTTAGGAGAGAAGAAACCATGTGTTGTCTCTGGTGTAACGATAGGGAACTCAGATTATAAAAGGACATGTACAAGAAACTCAAGGTGCAATGCAAGGTTAAGCACAAGTCCATAGTGAAATGGGACCACATGAATAATGGCAAAAAGGGTAAAGTCTAGAGGAGCTAAGATTTATTTAAAGCAAAACAAAACAAAAACAAAATTTGTTTCCTCTTTTTAATTTTAAATTTTATTCATGAATTCATTCAGCTAATATGGGAAAGGTAAAATGTCTGTTTTCTTAAGAATTAAAATAAAGGAAGGGAGGGTTTTAAAAAAGATGAGACGTGGGTACCTCTGCTTGGGAAAGATGACCCATAAATAGAGAAAGCTGAATACTTCAACTTCTGGACTGACTTCTGTACCTTCATAGAGAAGAAAGAGCTTCACCAGGAAAAGGAGAACAACTTTGGTTAAGAGAAACTTCAAAGTCCAAGATGGGGAGGAAGAACAGAAAGCTCCAGACTCCCATAGCTGCGCTGCAGGACCCTAAGGGAACTTGGAGATAGGCTCAAGGAACCTCCTGGGTGATCTCTGAGGAATCAAAGGGAACAGGAAAGGGCTAGAAAATCAGCATCCTGATTTTCAAAGAAGGGGAGAAAAAGGATTCCATTAACCCTAAGAGTGGAGAGCCTACCATCAACCTCTGTAAGAAGCTAAGCTGCATTGTTAACCTGGCGGATTTCAGAGCACACAGGAAAGGAAGCACCCAGAAAAGGCAAAAGACTCAATAGAAGAGCGGGCAGAGGACAGGTACAGGCAGTTCGCCAAAGAGGAAATTTAAGTGGCCAAAAAATATAAAAGGTCTCTACCATCACAGAAATATACACTAAATTAAGATAATCGGACATCATTTGTGCAGGTCAATAAAATTAAAAAACTGCTTATATCAACTATTGAAAAAAATATGGGGAAATGATACTTTCATTAGGGGAATACATAGCTTTCTCACTCGCTCTTGCTCGCTCTCTCTCTCTCTCTTCCTTTCTTTCTTTTTTGGTCTCACTTTATGGCCCTCGGTAGAGTACCGTGGCATCACAGTGCTCACAGCAACCTCCAACTCTTGGACTTAGGCAATTCCTTGCCTCAGCCTCCCAAGTAGCTGAGACTACAGGTGCCCACCACAATGCTCGGCTATTTTTTTGTTGCAGTTTGGCCAGGGCTAGGTTTGAACCCGCCACCCTCGGTATATGTGGCTGGTGCCCTATGTACTGAGCCACAGGTGCCAACCTACATAGCTTTCTTTAAAGGGCAATTTGGTGGTATTAACTAAAATTAAAAATGCATTGTATTCTGACCAAGCAATGTGAAAGATTCATACATTCAGAGGCTTATAGAAGGTTTTTCAACTTAGAAATGTTCAAAACAGTGAAATAGAAAAAAAACTTATTTTTAATTTAAAATTTATTTTGTTTCAGATTAATATGAGGTTATACAAATGATTAGGTTACATTGTTTTCATTTATTAAGTGAAGTTCAAGTTGTGGTTGAGTCCTTCACCTGGGGTGTGTGCTGTGTGCCTTACATTGTGCCCATTAGCTGAAAGCTTACTAATCCCTCTCTCCTCCCCTTTTCCCTTTTACTCCTTCCCCCTCCCCCTCACTTCAATTTAATTTTGTTTTTCCCTCATGTGGGGGTATAGTTGCTTATCTATTGGCTTCATATTAGTATTAAGTACATCGGACATTTGCTTCTCCATTCTTGTGATACTTTACTTAGGAGAATGTTCTTCAACTCCATCCAGGTAAATACAAAAGATGTAAAGTCTTCATCTTCTATGGCTGAATAACATTCCATGGTATACATACATCACAGTTTATTTATCCATTCATTAGCTGATAGGCACTTGGGTTGATTCCACATCTTGGAGACTGTAAATTGAGCTGTGATGAACATTCTAGTGCAAATGTCCTTATGGTAAAATAATTTTTTTTCTTCTGGGTAGATATGGGATTGTGGGATCAAAGGGAAGGTTTACTTTTAGCTCTTTGAGGATTCGCCATACTTCTTTCCATAGAGGCTGTATTCGTTTGGAATCCCACCAGCAATGTAAAAGTGTTCCCTTCTCTCCACATCCAACACCAGCATCTGCAGCTTTTGGACTTGGTGATGGGGACTGTTTTCACTGGGGTTAGGTGATATCTCAAGACGGTTTTGATTTTCATTTCTCTGATGATTCGGGGTGATGAGCATTTTTTCATGTGTTTGTTGGTCACTCATCTGTCTTCTTCAGAGAAGAAGAAATCTCTTGCCCACTTATAAATGGAATTGTTTGCCCTTTTCTTGATTAGTTTGAGTTGTCTGTAGATTCTAGTTATCATCTCTTTGTCAGATTTGCAGCATGCAAATATCTTCTCTCATTCTGAAGTTTGTCTGTATGTTGTAGTTGTTGTATCCTTAGCTGTGCAGAAGATTTTTAGTTTGACCACGTCCCATTCATTATTTTTGGTGTTGCTGCAATTACCAAGGGGGAGGCCTTCTTTATAAAATCTTTTCCCAAGCTAATGTTAAGAGGTTTTTCCCATACTTTCTTTTAGAATTTTTATCATTTTGTGTCTTGAATTTAAATGTTTTATCCAGTGAGAGTCAAGTTTTGTAACACTGGTGAGAGGTGTGAGTCCAGTTTCAGTCTTCTACATGTGGCTAACCAGTTCTCTCAGCACCATTTATTGAATGGGGATTCTCTTCCTCAGTATATGCTTTTGTTTGGCTTATTGAAAATCAGATGGCAATATGTCTCTGGGTTCATCTCTAGGTTTTCTATTCTATTCCATAGATCTACATCTCTATTTTTGTGCCATTACCACGCCTTTTTGATCACTGTAGACTTTTTTTTTTTTTGAGGCAGAGCCTAAGCTGTCCCCCTGGGCAGAGTGCCGTGGCATTACAACTCACAGCAACCTCCAACTCCTGGGCTCAAGCGAGTCTCCTGCCTCCGCCTCCCAAGTAGCTGGGACCACAGGCGCCCGCCACAACGCCCGGCTATTTTTTGGTTGCAGCCATCATTGTTGTTTGGCGGGTCCAGGCTGGGGATTCGAACCCGCCACCTTAGGTGTACGTGGCTGGCGCCTTAGCCGGTTGAGCTATAGGCGCCGAGCCTGATCACTGTAGACTTACAGCATAATTTGGCAAAAAAAATTTTTTTAAACTGTTCAAGGGTTGGCATGTGCTTAAATATAAGATCTGACAATTAAGTTTGCATACTTATCATAAAAAAGTGCTACATATCTCATTGCTGAATATCATTATAATCACCTTTGAAGTGCTCCCCTTAGGAAGCTATGCATCAACACCAGTGCCTAGTCCACCCTTTGAAGCAATTTTGGAACTTTTTTTCTGGAATGGCCATCAAACTTGTCATCATATTACCCCTGTTGTTCTAAATATCATCAAAATGTCTTCCTTTCAGTATTTCCTTTATGTTCAGGTAAAGAAAAAAGTCACTGGGGACCGGACCAAGAAAGTAAAGTAGGGAGAATGTTCTAATATAGTTATTTGTTTACTGGCCAAATACTCCCTCACAAAGAGTGCCATGTGAGCTGGTGCAAGAGCCATGAGTTGTCAGCCAAGATTTTCAGTTAAGACTTTCCTGTTTCTCTATTGATGTTTAGTTGGTCTGCTATGCTTTTCACAATCAGCCAATGATTTAGACACACAATTTGATGAATTTTTGCAATGTTTTTGTCAGCTTTGGTTGTTATTGGCATCTGACCTCTCTTTGTCTGTGATGCTTTCTCTCCCCTCAGAAAATCATTTAATCCATTTATATACTGCCATTTCTTTCTCTTGCTCTTTTTTGGGGGTGGGAGGATAGAGTCTCACTCTGTTGCCTATGCTAGAGTGGTGTGGCATCAGCCTAGCTCACAGCAACCTCAAACTCCTAGGTTTAAGCCATCCTCCTGCCTCAGCCTCCCTGGTAGCTGGGATTACAGATGCTCACCACAAACCCAACTAATTTTTCTATGACTACCACTTTCCTCACAGCATTATCCCCTACACTTGAACTAACATGTCCCTGATTTCACTTCTACTCTTGTAAAATTTGATAAGAAATTTACAAATGCTTATTCATTGCTGTAATTCACAATGGCACACAAAATCATGCAACAACAATAATGAGCACCACTCAGCAAGACACTGCCACATCTGAACACAAACTCACGTGTTAAGACTGATATACCAACGTTAAGAAACCTTACTAAATTGTTTGTACAGTGCTGTCAATGTAAGCACACGCTGGCAAGTTAGAAAACTTAACTGCCAGACCTCATACATTATGGTACATCTATGCTATGGAATAACATTCTATAGCCAGTCAAAATTAAAGATGATTCATATATACTGACATTGAATGATTTTTCAAGATGCTTTAAGAAAACATAAGAGAAACCTATGTATTTCTGTAAGTGCAGTATGTATATATTAATAAATGTATAGAAAATTGTTTAAAAGAATACCAATTAACAGAGATTACTCTGGGAAGGCAATTTGGGATATCTTAGTGTTTACTTTTTACATGTTTTTTACACTGAGAATGTCTGCATTTATTGCATACACACACACAGACTTGGCCCTCTGTATCTGCGGGTTCCATATCTATGGATCTAATCAAATACAAACTGAAAATATTTGGGGGAAAAAATGGATGGCTTTGTCTATATTAAACAAGTACAGACTTTTTTCCTTATTTTTCCCTAAACAATATAATAGCTACTTACATAGCATTTACAGTATATTAGGTATAAGTAATCTAGAAATGCTTTAAAGTATACAGGAAGATGTGGATAGTATATAAATACTGTACCATTTTTTTAGGAACTTGTGCGTCATGGATTTGATAAATGCAGGGGTGGGGGAAGGGTTATAGAACTAATCCCCCATGGATACCGAGGGACAACTGTATATGTATGTATACACACACACATATATTTTTAAAGAAAGAAAAACTAAAACTAAGAAATGGTGAGTGTTAGGGACTAGCATATGCACTAAGAGTAAGACATGTCAAACCTACTCAGTTTCCTTCTTCTGGGATGAGGAGAGAAATGCCCATGACACTGTGAACTGACACCTACAGGCTTTTGGCAGAGTCTTTCATATCATTATCATGGAAATGAGGAAAATTCAGCCTGATGACAACGCTAGGAGATAGAGTAACACTGAATACCTATCGGTAATAGTGGCTAATTCAGGGACATGAGGAAACTGCTAGGGCAGTCTTTGGTCCTATCCTGTTTAACAGGTTCATTCATTCATACTTTCAATTTCTCATTCACTCACCCACTCAGACATCTGAGAGTTTACTGTGTATCAGATGCTATGCAGAAGATATGAAGATGATCCCTGCCGAGGGCCTCAGATACTGAAAAGTAGAGAGAAGGCAGGGAAAACAGCATGAAGAGTGCTTGGATTGAAGGGTTATGGAAGCTCCAGAGAGGAGAGCCTGACCCCATCCTGGCCTCTAGGTCACTAACCATACACCCACACATCAATCAATGGTCTGTTTGCATCAAGAAAGAGAGCATGAAGTTAGAAGTACCACAATTCCAAAACCACATATATATGAGTTAGAAGTTAAGAAGCTACACATACCATATGAAATCCATTTCTAGTCACTGAAAAGTCCCACCCATAGGTTGTGGGAGAGTACGTTTTCACTTTGAGACCTTGCTGCAAGAATATCATCAAAGAGGCCTCTATGCAGAGTAAGAGGTCAGGATAGGGAAGAATGAGGCCCATGTCAGATGAAGATCAGCCAAAGCTATGTCCTGGCTTCTTCATAGCTACTCTGATCTCTTTCTGGGCTCCAAATTCTACACACATTCCTCCTCTGTTTTCTCTCAGGGAATCACCTACAGCCAACAGATAGGAATTTCAAGATCTCTGATTATATCCTTGGTTAGACCACTCAAGAGAGGCGGAAAGGCAGCTCCCAGGTCAGCCCTCAGCAGGCAGTCTATAGCAGATTTTCAGTGTGCAAGACCTTCCCTGACTGCCCTGATATCCCAAAATGTGACACTCCAAGGTGGTCCCTTCCCCCACACAAAAGAAGAAATGAGAAGTATTCTCATTTCATGTGTATGGAAACACATACACCAGTTTCCATGCCTACAGATCCCATAGGGGGTCATTTAACCCTTCCACGCCTTAGTGTTTCTGTTTACTTTTTAAGAGACTGGGTCTAACTCTTGTTGCCCAGGCTGGAATGCTGTGGTGTGATAATAGCTCACAGCAGCCTCAAATTCCTGAGCTTGAGCACACTTCCCACTTCAGCCTTCTAAGTAGCGGGGACTACAGGCACATGCCACCATGCCTGGCTAACTTCTTAAAAAGTTGTTTTAGAGTCAGGGTCTCACTATGTTGCCCAGGCTAGGCTCAAACTCCTGGCCTCAAGCAATCCTCCCATCTCAGTCTCCTGTAACTGAGATTGCAAACATTACTACTGTGCCTAGCAGTGTTTCTGTTTAATGAATACGACGGATTAGGTAGCTCTGATAGGCAACGTGTATTAGCTGTTCATGCATTCTCTTCCTGGGAGCAGTCACTGTTAAAAAGGGTTCCAAAGAGAGGGCAATACTTAATTGTGAATGAACATGAAATTCCAGACACTCAGGGTGATTTATTTGGGTCCCCATGCTAGTGTAGGAAGTGGTCTGGCAGGGACCCTCCATCAGACTAACCTCTTTAGTGATGATCGAGACAGCACCTGTGCAGCCTGGTTCATGGCCCTGACCCAAGCATTCATGTCTTCCTGGGTGTCGGCACTGAAGTAGTAGGTCCTCATGCCGGAATGCTCAGCCTGAGAGCCCACCACGGAGCTGTTATAGATGATAGCTCGCATCCCTGTGTGCACAGCCTATAAGTGTGGAGATGGAAGTACAGATCAGAGATAGGTTAGCACACATTTCCCTTCTAGGAGCAAAAACAAGGAGGCACTCTGGCCACGTTCTCCCCACCTCTAGACTAAAAGCCCAAGCACCACGTGGGCTTCTTTCCACACCTGGAAAACGTCACAGGATAGATTCTTCTTCCTTAGTACAGTCAGGCCCAGTGACAGCTGTGTCTGTTCCCCACAATAAAAGCCCTACGAGTTGTACCTGTTTCTGATTTATCTTACTCCTGCCTGGAGTTTAGGGTGTGGGGCAGGCAGAGAGTCAAGGTTTATGTGAGAAATAGGCTTTTTTAAAAACACTCTTATTTCTTAGAAGTAGACTCTTGGGAATCCCTGTTTTGGTTCTTCTGAAGCCTGTGATTCCTGCTTTGGCTACAATCAAACACAAATTGAGTCAAAATCAGCTGCAACAGCAGGTGGCTTGGTGTGGATGTGCACTGTGCTTCACTGCTTGGGCATGAAATGTGGTGCGTGTTCATCAAAGCAGCAGCTGCTCTGTCTCTCCAAAAGAAGCACCACAGAGTTGGACAGAGCTAATAGTTGACTAAATATTCTTGCACACCTACTATGTACTTCTGCTTCAAGATGCTTTCATATGTATCCACATGAAGAATCTGGAAAAAGGTACTGGGAATGACCACTAAAAAGCAACTGAGGATTTGCAAACTAGAGCACCAATTTTCCCCCTGTGCTATACTAAAGCAGGGATCTGTCCTTTGAATTTGCAAAGAAAATTCATCTCAATGAATCCACCAAGGAACAGGGTGTGGAAAGAGGAAGATTTACTGAGTACGTGTCTTCTGGGTACTTCCACAACTTTAATCTCATTTTAATCCCACAGCCATTGTTTCTCAGCCTTTTGGCTAAGCTCAACTGTAATCCCAAAAGACTTGAGAGGTAGAAAAAGAATCTGTGTTCTACAGATGTTTCACAAATCTCTGAGATGCCAAGTAACTTTCCCAAATTTCCACACCTGGTAATAGATTCTCAGATTCTTCACAGCACTTACCATTATCTGATGTTATTTATTTTACATATTTGTTTATCACCTGTTTATCATCTGTCCCCCCCCCAAATTACATGCAACATGGTTACCCCAACTGTTTGCCCAGTAGCAATGCTCAACCCTAGAAAGGAGGGTTTTCTGAGCAAGACTTTCAGGCTCTAAAAGACCAGACTGAAAACCATGGGACAAATGTTTTTAGAGCTGGCAATAAGCAGGAGGCTCTAAACTTTAAAACAGAAATGTTCCTAAAAATGACACAATAAGCATCAGTCAATTCACACGACCTCCTGCTCCTTGCAATGTGTGTGCAGTAGGTGACCAAGACATGGAAGAAAAAGCAGGGAGGAAAAGATAAAATAATTGTCCCCTCTCCTTGTAATACAACTGAAAAAGGACAGAATTCAGTACCCAGTTCTGCCCCCATCATCTTCTAACTTTGTTACTTTGGGCAAGTTTCTTAAACTCTCAAATCCTCACATCCCTAAGCTATAAAATGAAGCTAATAATACTGACCTCACCATGAATATTAAATGAAGTTACATGTACAAAAGTTCTTCCCAAATCATAAAAGGTTTTACAGATATAAAGCAATACTGTTCCATGCAACATGAAGAGGGGGAGGATCCCGGAATCACCAATCCATAGCAATTACTGAGTGGTATTCGATAGGGTCACTCAAGGGAAAGAGGACAGCTCAAACCTGACAATGAACAAAGCTGAAGCATCAGCTCGTTACTATACTCCCTGAGGAAGGAAAAGTAAAAGGAAGATGAGGCTGACTTTCCATCCACCAGCACCACCCTGGCCTCCTGGTTAAGACACTGATGCAGACTATCACTTTGTGAAAGCGTTTCCCAGATGGAGGACCAACCACTAACATGTGGACTCCACATACCACACTTTCCCCTCGTAGGTACTCAGTAAATCTTCTTTCCACACCATCTTCTATGTATATTTAGTGAGATTTTTATTTGCAAATTTAAACAATAGGCCCCTGCTTTCCTTTAACCCTTCCAGGGAACAGTGGGTTTCTTATCTTTGCTTTCCCATGGTCCTGTTACTATCTCTGGCTGGAAAATGTGACTTCTATTCAATCTCTGCTTTGACACCTACTATCTAGTACTTGTCTTGTACCCCTAACATGGGGATAGCCAATGAACAAGTATAGAAGGGGCAGGAGCTCCCTGCTCCAGCATTACCTCATGTCCTGAGCAGCCATGAGAGGGCTGTGCCCTGGGGCCACTGGCACCAAGGCTGCTTGCTTCAGTGCTCTCTGGGACTTCCACTACAACTGCTAATAAAGTGGGTCTTCAACCCACCCCACCCTCACCATCCTTGGGGGACCCCAAAATGCAGAAATGAATTCCTACAATGAAGGAATCTGTAGAAGTCACCAATAGAGAAGGCCTTGGGACACCCTAAGTTTGAGCCTAACCACCACCTTCCTAGAGCCTCCTCCCCTGGCCTCATAGGGGCTAGAAGACATCAGAGGACTGCCAGCAATTATCCCTGCCCCACTCCCTCCAAATGGTATGGCCACAGAGGAAGCAGGAAAGGGGCTTTCCTGATGAAAGAACCTGCCTAAGAATCTTCAATGATTTAGAAAATAAAGCAAAGTTCATTCTAATTGCTTTTCAACAAGATAAACAAAGTAGACAAACCTGGCAATCTCTTCAACATGCAGGTCCCTAAACAACTGATATAAATCCATTACAAGGGGTCATCAATTGCATGCAATGGCTGGATAATAGTTAGACTGTGGCTGATTATGTAGCCCCCACATGTAAAAAAAAAAAAACACAAGAAGGGCTATGCTCAATATGTAATCACAAGACTGGGAATGAGGCCAGGCATGGTGGCTCACGCCTGTAATCCCAGCATGTTGGGAAGCCAAGGAAGGAAAACTGCTTGAGGCCAGGAGTTTAAGGCTGCAGTGAGCTATGATTGTACCGCTGCTCTCCAGCCTGGGTGACAGAGAAAGAGCTGGTCTCTCTTTTAAACAAAGGAAAATAACACTTTAGTGATACAAAAAGAACACAGCTGTGCATCTCCAAAGCTCAGATTCAAATGAAAGTACTAGGGATGTGATATTATCCTTATTTAAATAATTCATAACTTCATTAATCTATGTCTGAAACTCTTTAGCATCTTAATTCTTCCCCCTCACTACAAAAAAGCAGCTGCTTGGCACCTGTAGCACAGTGGTTACGGTGCCAGCCACATACACTGAGGGTGGCAGGTTTGAACTTGGCCCGGGGCCAACTAAACAACTGCAACCAAAAAATAGCTGGGCGTTGTGGAGGGTACCTGTAGTCCCAGATACTTGGGAGGCTGAGGCAATTGAATCACTTTCATCAAAGAGTTTGAAGTTGCTATGAACTGTAACCCCATGGCACTCTACCGAGGGCAACATAGTGAGACTCTGTCTCAAAAAAACAAAAAAACAAGAAAATCTATAGAAAATTTTTTTGGGGAGGGGCTTTGAATTATAAAAGTATGATGCATGTACACATACAAAAGATAACTGGAACATTTTTTTCTCTGGATTAAACAGTAAAACTTTCTGGCTCAGCACCTGTAGCTTAGTGGCCAGGGTGCCATCCATATACACTGGGGCTGGTGGATTCCAACCCAGCCCAGGCCTGCCAAACAACAGTGACAACTACAACAACAACAAAAGAAGCCAGGCATTGTGGCAGGCGCCTGGAGTTTGAGGTTGCTGTGAGCTGTGACACCATGGGACTCTTCTGAGGGCAACACAGTGAGACTCGTCTCAAAAAAGAAAAAATAAATAAAGAGTAAAACTTTCTTTAAAAAAAAAAAAAAGTAGCTGCTTTATGAAGGTGGTTTTTAGCCTCTTAAGGTGAAACTGCTACAATAGAGGGAAAGGGGCGGTACCTTAAAGGAGTACTTGCGACTTATGCGATCCTCAGGGCCCACTGGCGAGATCACATAGCTGGGTAGAGGGATGCTCCCGAGGACTGCTTCTTCTCGGCTGTCTTTGAATGGAAAAACACATCAGAACCACCTTCTGGGCCTCTTCCCGGGGCTGGTCTATTCACTGCCCTGCTTTAGGGCCCTTTCTACCTCCCAAGGACTACAGCAATCTCCTCTTAACTGATCATATACAGGCTCCCTGGGAACGTCTGTGCTATTGCTGGAACCACAAAGGTAATTCCAACAGGGCCCTCTCCCCGCCGAGAGGGGAGAAAGGCATGTAAACACACTCAATTCAACCTACTAACACGTGAAATTGAGTCGGTGCTCTGGGGACACAGAGGCAAGAGTGACACACAGTCTGGGAAAGTCGAGAAGGCTTCAGAGGCAATCCTTACAGTGTTTTCAAGGATGAGGAAGGGTGCCTGGATGGAGCAAATCTCACAGGCCATGTCACAGCATGTGTGACAAATCCTACTTTCTACACTATTCTCTCCTTCCTCCAAACCATCTCCATTACCAGAGGTAACTTACTGCCTAGTGACAGAGTTGGTCCTGTTGCTCTCCTACTCAAAGCTACCTGCTGATTCCCCCTAGATACAAAACAAAGCCCAGATTCCCCTGCCTATTTGTGATAGCCCTTTCATTTGGTTCTTTCTCACTTTCTGAGCTTTATCTCCTAGTACATCTCAAGACGCACCTGGCCACATTCTTCTGCTTCTAGAACTTTACTCAAGTTGCTTCCTCTTATAATAACACCCATCTCCTCAAAGCTCTACCCAGTCATAAAAGCCCGACTCAAATCCTATCTCTCTCTTTTTAATGGAGATGCCTTGCTATATTTATTGTTATTTTTATGAGTCATTGTCATATACATATATAATTTTATAGCACTCTGTTATGACAGTAATAAAGTAAACCTTGAGAGTAATGTGAGTAATACTGATTAGTACTATGCTAAACAGTCTCAAATTACATAGAAATTCTCATATCACGGTTACAAAGATTTTTAATCTCTTCTTTTGCTTTAATAAGTCACTTCATATATTCAATTTCTCTGACATTACTGTGAGCTATCACTCTTTAATTTAGTAGAATCTGGAAAACTAAATACAAAGTTTACTTGAATTGTATGTAAAGGCCAGTCAGTAGGAAAAGAAAAAAAAAAACCTTTCATCAAATCCTATCTCTTCTAAAAAGCCTCTCCCGGCATGGTGGAATTGTCCAGATTCTCCAACTTAGAATTCACTTCTCACTCCCTCTCACCTGCCTAAGAACTATGGATGTCTTTTAAAGCACCAAATCACAGTGTAGTCTCATCTTAAAAGTAAGCTGTCTATCTCTTCCTCCACATTTTGAGACCTCTTTCTCAACAACGCATAGTTCCTAATTTTATAGACTGGGGCTCCATAAAAGCTCAGATGGCCAATTTAATTCACTAGTTGCCTATCTAATATTAGATAGGATAAATTCAGGTGACAGGTCACACCACACTTCTCATCAGTCCAGACTGCCTTAAGGGTGTGCCTATGTCCCAAGTGGGGCAGAAGCTGAGATGACTCTGGATCTTGAGATCCTAAGCAGTAGGCAAACTGGATTCTATTTATTTTAACTCAATAGATTAAACTTCCTGTGTCAGGACTGGTAAAACTAGAGTCACCAACCACCCACAGATGTAAAAGTGAACACTTTGGCAGGGTAATAGATTCTTATTTAGCTCAGACCACAGGTTCAACCACTGAATTTGAGAAGACCACCATTTGTATCCCCTTACCACTTGGTCCAGTACAAAGAGCCCTTGGTGGCCAGACCCTCAGCTCACCTTTATAGTAAAACAAGCAATAGTCAGCAAGCACAAACCACCTTCTCTTCCACAATCTCATCCCAGAACTGTCCTGTAAAGCAAAGCAAATGAGTCAGGGCAATATCTGAGCATACTGTTCCCTCTCTACAGTCACGTGCACACGGATTCTAGAAGCAAGACTTGCCCATATTCACTCTTTCTTTTACTAAATTAGCTACTGAATAGCTATTCTTTGAACAGGACATTAAAATTCAGATTCAATGACAATTTATCCCCAGGAGTTTATATTTTATTTTTGTCTCCTAGAAACTAATACAAGCCATCTTGTTTTAGAGAGCAAAATGTGAATTCAAAAAAATAGGTTTCCCATGAAGAAAGGAATCAGCTCTCAACAAAAAGGAAATTTAGATTTTTTTTTTCTTATTTAGGTGCTAAGCTATAAAGTATCTTCATTTATGCTAACTGGAAAATTGAAATTACTTAGGATTTAAAAGAGTTTAAGTTATCTAATTAACTAAGGCCAGGTTCTAGTTGACTGAGCTCAGTTCTATACCATACGGGCCTGATTTTGCTGTTGTGTCTTCCTTCCAGTCAATAAAAACAGATTTGGATTCTCTCTGCTATCCAATTGTCTCATAATAAAAATCCATCTTTACTCAACTGAAATGTAAATCTTTCCATTTGTTAAGAGTGTTTTAAATAATTGTGAATATTCAAAAATACTTGGCCAAGGTAGGAAAGTAGTAATGTTTTAGGGTCAGTTTTCTCCCAAACCTAGGAAAACTCCAGAGATTCTTTTAGCTTTAGAGATAACCGTTAAAATACGTCTTCCTTCTGCAAGTTTTTGACAGCCTTGAATTTAAAAAAAAAAAGTCGACAATTTCTAAACTTTAACACAATGTGGATTGTTCATTTTCTTCTTACTAAATGCTAAAATCAAATTTAACTTGATGATTTCAACAATTTATCAGTTTTATCTCCTGCAAATCAACAGGATTTTGAAGGTCTTGGCACATGGTATTTGCTTTGTTTGGAGAACTCTCTTCTATCCTTCTATGCCTGGTTCAAACGTCACTTGCTGTGGGATGTGTACACAGATCTCTGTTACAGCTACGCACAGCCAGTAAGCCTGGGGTAGGAGGTAGGAGCTGGGGAGAATTATTCACAAGCCCCTTCTTCTCCCTCTTCATTTCAGAGGAACATCCTTGATTTAATGGGAACAGGGATACAAATAGGAGAAATGACTCTGGTAAGAAATGCATCTTACATGAAGATGTAAGAAAACAGAGGGGAAAAGATCTGTAAGGGGAGAGTGGGAGCAACGAAGGGTGATGCCAGAGAGTCTGACAAGAGACTGCAAAGCTGTTAGAGCTGCTGTGGGAGCAGAACTAGGGAAAAAGATTCCAAGGGGACTTTTGGGATTTCTTTTGCTTGGTGTACAATATAATTCCCTCCTCTGCCTTTCCACAAAGGCTTCACTAAAATTGATATTGTTGCTCTGTGGGTTTTTTGGGTGTGATGCTATGTGAGAGATTGGGGCTGGAGGATGACTTAACACATGAGAGATGTGCTATCTGCTTCCCCTGGTAGATGAGTTTCTCGAGGGCAGGAGCCACGTCTTACTCATCTCTTGATACCTGCTCTGAGAGCGCTTACAGGACAAGCACTGGTAATGAATGAAAGCAAGAAGAGAAGAGGGGTGAAAGAGACAAGGCCTCTGGTGCTGGGAACTCACAGCTCAGCCACGGCAAGAGGACAAGAGGCAGATCAACCGGCCATCGGGTTAGTGATGACGGACGGCCTCAGCAAAGACAGAGCCAACAGGCCTTCCTGACTATGTACTAGTGGGGTGGGGAGATCCGGAGATGATGCTGAAGTTTCTACCCTGAGTGCCTGAGAGAATAGTGGTACCATCACTCAAATCCAAAAAAAGCAGTCTGGGGGAAAGGGGGGGGAGCTGAGGAATTAATGAGCTGAGCCCGGCTGATGTGGAATGTGAGATACTAGTTACCTAGATGTGTGTGTGAGATAAAGGAAAGAGGAAAAGATGCAATTTTTCAGCCAAATGATGATAAAGACTCTTTGACATCAGGAAAGCTGGCAGAAGATTGGCAGTAAGCCTGAATTCATGCTGACCCACCCGCACTATGGCCCAGGTACCAGGGCAGCCAATAGCTCCAGAGACCAAAGTAGTCAAGTTAGTTTGGGGAAAGAAGCTATAACCACTGAGCAGACAGCGCACTCATGAGAACAAACAGCAAATCACTCAGTATGGTGGGCAGAATCAACCTGGGCCCCAGACAAACTCAGGAACAGAAAGCTTATGCGCCTATTCCTGGCTTCCTAGGGGAAGAACTGTTCCTCCCCCACTCTCAGCCCTCAGAGTGCTTACCTGCTTGTGCAGCCAGCCCCTCACCACCACTGGAACATTGGGGTTTCTCCTAATTGCCTGGTCCCTCTTCCCGAAGCTGTGGACTTTATTGCTGGACTTTATAATCTACAAAAAAGTAGCAGCAGGGGATTTAGGGAGGCACAAAAAAGCACTTGCCTGTTAGGAGGGCTGCCAGCTCTCTCTGCCTTACTCTAAGCGGCAGCACCCTTTGATCAAAAGAACAGCAACTGCATGCCCACGGCTACAGTATTATAATTAAAAGGAGAGCCTAAGACCTAGCAAAACTCCCAGATGGGTCACAGAGAAAAAAATTTAAGATTTTCAATCAACTTTCAGTAGCAGCTGTTAGCTCTAATATGTCCTATGGCTTCTTGAAGCAAAGCTACTTTTTGGTCACAAATTTTGCCAATTTCCAGATATTTTCCCCTCCTATTTGGGTTTACTCCCTCTCTCCATGATCCTGGTTCTTTTTCCTGCTCCTTAGTCAGTGTTCCCACACCTTGAGTACAAACACTTCTGGGCCCTTTCAGAGATACTCTTCCTCAGGGCCATTTTTCACCAAATCTCCCAACCATGTCAGGAAAGTGAAGAACATGCTTAAGGTCTTAGGCATCACTCCTGGGACTGTCAGTAACTATTTTCTTGAACAAGTATTACAACTCCTCTTGGCCTCAATATCCTGATCTGTCATTTGGGGAGACCACTTCTTACTGGTCTCCCTCACAAAACTGAGAAAAGATCAAATGGACTTCCTGTTACAAAGGGGCTTAGCAAAACATAAAAGAAGGGAAGGAAGGAACAAGTGGCCTGGAGCTTACCTTGGGTCCAGGCTTGGCCTCCAGGGTGGAAGTGGTCCCAGCTGTGGACGTTTCACTGACCATGCTGGACGGTCTTTGGTTTCTTTCTTGCTTTGACATATGTGGATTTGGCCTGTGGGGGAGACACAGGGAATCCAGTGAGTAAGTGCCAAGGTGCAGAGTGGGAAGTGGAGTCAGATTTGTTTCAGATTGGAACTGGTCGCTGAGTTCCTTCTCTTTTGGAGACCACCAGACTCCAGACTGCAGCCAGAGGGCCAGGACGCCAGCCTACCCATATGCTTCAGGGAAATAAGAAAGACAGATGGCACATCCCTACAGCTTGACAGCCTGACACCCTGCAAAGGGATCCAGACTGTCATCCCTGACTCTTGTCCTAAGGCCCCCATACTCACTCCCTTTATCAGATATCTGTGACCACCGTCCCATCTGATGGGGATGTACAATCATACCACTTTTCTCAAGAAGCAAAGCAGTCCAAACCCTTTACACACACACACCTCCATTTCCCTGGCTCCCAAAAGAAGCTGTTTATAATTAGCAACAAGAAATCACTAGCGCACACATCCACCCCCAGATACACATAGAGAATCGCTTACATAAACGCCAGTGGGGCTTGCCTCCCGAAATAGACTACTCAACAAAGAGACCTATTCCGGGAGCACACTATTTGCCCCAAAATAGAGCCATTGGACATATTAACCCTTTGTGCCATGCTTGGAGAGCAGGAAGAAATGAAACAAGCCTTGGGTCCCAAAGAGGATCCCCGGTACTTCCCTGTCAGCATCCAGCAACATGGAGCTTCCCACTGAGAAGCTTCCCTGGAGGGCCAGCACTCTGGCAACGTTTCAGTATGACGCCCAGGAGACACCAGAGAGAGTCCTTCTCACCTACTTCCACAGAACCTCAACATTTGCCAGAGTTTTTCAAAGCAGCAGCAACAAATGCCTCCACACACATTCAATATCTGTCCTTGAACAGTTCGATGCCTGATTCCAAGGATCAGCAAGCTGTTCCCAAAACAAAAGTCTCAGGGTTCTGCCAATAGGCAACAGGATTCAGGCAACTGGAGACTAGGAAGACCATAGTAAACTGAGGCTCTATGCCTAAAAAGAAAATCTGCTCTGGAGGCCTGGGCCAGGACCTGGAGATGAAGCTGGGGAATCTGGGCAGGATGCGGCTGAGGGAAGAAGTACTCTGGACATCCTTCACTCTGCTCACCTTCAGAGAGATGCAACAGGAAGAGAATCTTAGTTTGCACCCTGGAGATGTGTTGCTTCCTTCAAAGACCACTGCTGCTCACAAGAAAAATAATCCATCCTGCTCCCTGAGACATAGCTCTGATATCTTGCTCCATGATGGAAGTTCTCTGCCGAAGTAGCCAGGATCTCTGTGCTCTCTAAACAGTGCCAGCAGCAGGACCACCATTGCAGGCACCCTGGGGATGAGGCCAGCAGGATGCTTGGCAGCTAGAGGTGCAAGTCCTACCAGGCAGAAAGATCTCTGGCTCCTTATCAGCTCAGCCACTCACTCCAGATTCCCTGCCCCCAGCCTCCGTCCCAGCCAGACTTTTGTTACTGTTCCCCACTCACAGGCAGAATGTCACCGCGCTCACTGTTGGCAGAGGCTGTGTGCAGTAAGAGACAATCACTGGTGAGGGGTGGGAAGGGGCTCTGAGTGCCTGCCTTGCCTTGTCCACCCCCTGCCTCCGGGCAGAACTAGGTCCAAAACATCCTCCTAGAACCTGGTCTTGCCTGACTCTTCTGATTTCCAGAGGTTGAGACAAGGAAAAAGAGTTCTCAGGTTGCCTTCGTTATGGCAACTGTGTACCTCTAAGCAAAAATTCAGGACACAAGGGCCAACCATAAAAAAGAGTTGTTTGAGATTTTATCAAGGGTAATTTGCTCCCACTTAAGATACAAAGAGAGGCTTATTATAGAATATTTGAGAAATATAAGGAAAAGCTGAAAGGAGAGAAAAACATCCCCCACAGTCCTGATACTGAAAGGGAAAGCATTTATAACACTTGGTATCATTACTTCCGTTCTTTTTTATGCCTTTTTCAGAGGGGGGAATAGGAGAAGGGCAAATAAAGGTGTTTTTTGTTTATATATAATTGTGTTTTTACTGTGTTTGTGATTTTGTATCTTCATTTAAATATTAAATATTTTCGCCATTATTTTAAACTAATTCATATCATCAACTGGATGTGCTATTCCTCTTCTGTAGGACAAAGAAAAGAGCATCTGCATTTGTGACTGTCTCAGGAAGTCCAGGACAAATGGCCACTTTTACCATTGCTGTACCTTACAATTCTGAACTCTAACTGTAATTGCCCTCCCATGCATCCCAACCCTACATCCCCCTGTCCCACCCCGACTTCCGGGATGCTGGCTGGGGACCTCCCAGCCAGTAGTATCAGAAGAAAGATGGCTGTCCCACAGCCTTAGGTAAATGAGGAAAGAGGGTACCACTCCCATCTAGGCAATCAGCAGGGAATAGATTTTGGCTAGAGAGGGACTGGTTGTGTCCCTTAGATCCATGAGGGGCAGTGGTAGGCAGGGGGGGAAAAGAATGGGAAAAAACACACAAAGACAACTCTATTCCTCATAGACTATACCAGTCAGCCACACCCAGAGAAAGCTTATCAGATGTGACTAAAGTTCAAACTAAACCTACCCCAAGGAGGGGACTGTGTTGTCTCTGCAAACAGGGAGCATGTCTTCACCAGGGGTCCCCGTGGGCAGAGACAGCTCCCAGTTCAAGCTATAGACTCAACTATTACCTGAAAGTCCCTGACTTGGCTCCCTGAAATAACAAGGCACACACAACTACCATTTGTCTAAATAACAAGATCTACCCTCAGAGGCTGTTCCTATGAAGCTCCTCAACATGGGTCATGATTTCTCACGTCTTCTAAGGATGAGCATGACTTTCAGAAATAACCACAAGTTATTTGGAATTACAACTAGTTAAAAAATAAAGTGGAAGTCGTGCCTGGGAATACCATTTGCTATCCAAAAATGAGTTTATGGAAAAGCTAAAAAAACTGGCTTGATGGAAACTTTTAGAGATGGTTTACATCAATGGTTTGAGCAATGGAAACATCAATGGTACATGCGTATAGCCTTTTGAAGAGACAACAGTGAAAGGGACATCACTCACTTAGATTCTAGTACATTTGCTTTTAGCTAGTTACACCTTACAGGTGTATTTCCCACTTAAGAGCCTGGGGGGACAGACACTCATTTGTCAACACCTCTAAGACAGTGCACTCCTCAAAGAGTATTTTACTGACAAGTCTCTCCCAAGAACTGTCTCCTCTCCTCAGAGAATAGCTTGTGCCCCTGAGCTGGGCAACTGTGAAAGGGGCGTAGTTCCCACCAGCTTGACTTCAGGCACACTGAGTCACTCACTTCAGATCCAGGGAGAAGAAACCAAAAAACCTGCACACACAGACTCTTGGTGTCATCAAACAAAACGAATTCACTTAAAAGGCTGTTTGTCAGGTTTCTGTCTATCCAGATCCCAAAGTACAGTGGGATACTCTGAACAAAGACCTCCCTTTCTCTGGCTTGGGCTACATGAATGCTGATTATTTTGTTGGAGGGATGTGGGCTGAAGTTGGAAACAGTGAGCTAGAGTGTTAACTCAACTGCCTTGCATCTGAAATGAACAAAAGAAGTCAGGACTAAACAAAATCAGTCTAAGGAAGCCCAGTTGGAAAGTGGCTTGATTCTACTCCGAACTTTGTTATGGATGCATCAGGTGAGCGTGGGCAGGAAGTCACTTTCTCTGTCCCTTCATTCCCCGCGTATAAAAGGAGAGCCTCTGCTTCCTGCATATCTGGTACTAAATGCATATAATATTGACAGATGTAAGAAAAAAAGGTTATAAATACAGAGCCACTTTTTGTTGCTGTTGTTGTATCTGAATTTAGATGAGTTTGGTTAATGGGACTGTCAAGCTGCCTCTCAAACAACAGTGTGAACTGAAGCAAACTGAAGTGGGCTCATGACCAGACTATTCCCTGTCCTTTCTGTCACAATAAGGAGCTCATGAAGCCAAGCATCACCAACCCTTAAAGACAGGTATGCAAGGCCATGCAAGCTGGGGTATACTTGTCCAGAACATACTGCGTGTCAGGCACTTTCCTACATTATTCTACTTAATCCTGCAAAGTCAGTTTTAGCATCTCCATTTGTAGATGAGGAAAGAGACTCAGAGAGATCAATGATTGCAGAAGACAGAAGCTGGTCTTCAAAACCTGGCTCTGCCCTGAGAAATCATCCCATGGCAAGTCCCAAGGTCTGAGAGAAGCAGGCATTTGCTCTTCTCAGCTCCAAGACCAACCCCTAAGCTGAGAAGACCATGGGTGATGGAAAGAAAGAGCCCAGCGTACCTGGATCTCAGCCAACCCCTGCAGCTTACTGACTCCTCCACAAGTCACACGAATTCTCTGGGCCTTGGTTTCCAGTTTTCCAAAATGGGTGAAAACCACCCCTCATCTCACAAAGTAGTTATGTAGATTGAAACGGCACTTTGAAAACCATGAAATGGCTCGGCGCCTATAGCTCAACAGGCTAAGGTGCCAGCCACACACACCTAAGGTGGCAGGTTCGAATCCCCAGCCCGGACCCGCCAAACAACAATGGCTGCAACCAAAAAATAGCCGGGCGTTGTGGCGGGCACCTGTGGTCCCAACTACTTGGGAGGTGGAGGCAGGAGACTCGCTTGAGCCCAGGAGTTGGAGGTTGCTGTGAGCTGTAATGCAAGGCACTCTGCCCAGGGGGACAGCTTGAGGCTCTGTCTCAAAAAAAAAAAGAAAACCATGAAATGTTGCTTGAAATAAAAAGCATTACTTACAATTGTTACTAGTGGAGACGCTAGAATTTAAATCCCAGCCACATTTTATTTTTATTTCTAAGGCACTTCTCTCTAGGAAGCTCAAGGTACCAAACAATTAACTCTAAACAATAATCACTTCCTGTAAACATCCCTATACACATCTTATCTGAGACTTTTTTAAAGTATAGCGGGACTTGGCTTCCACTCTTTCCCAGGAAATCATTAAGGCCAGAGTCATCAAGTATGTGATGGGAGGTTAGAAAGCTT